AATGTTGCCGAGCTCAACAAGACACGAAAATAAATAAGTGTATCTGCTGCTTGTAAGTGTTTGCTGCCAGTCAAAAGTTTCACTTTGTCAAAGTACAAATTACGGACGAACTTTATTGACACCTGGCGTCAAAAGACATCCGTAGTCAGCGTGTAATATCTTCAGGTATTTTACTTATTTCAAGTTTAGAATTGTTAAAAAATTAAGCCATGCATATTTAAACTATTTAAACCTTGGCATTTATCAGCTCAAATGTGTTATGCCAGCAAAGCATTGTCTGTATGTAGGCAGCCATAAGACTTGTCCTTTAAAGTTCACGCATTCACAAAACTTTATCAAAACTTAAACGCTCAACATGCTCAACATGTTTATCCAGTGCTAGGCACTTGCAAAAAGTATTTAGACAGGCTATAACAAGCGTAAAATATGTTTGCAATAGACTTCAACATATATGCAGCTTCCACCCTTCAGCAAAATAAATGCTAAGCTATTTATAAAGTTTTAGTTTTACTACATTTTGGTCTTATGCCTTTACTGTTCACTTATTAAAATTTTTACACTTATTAAATTATTAAAATATTTTTTTGGCATAACAATCCCTTTAACTCGTTGATAATTGCTAGCAGCAACTGAAATTTATTCAAAAATTAATTTTCTCGTCACTGTAATTATAGCTCTTTCTTCAGAGATTAAATCTGAGAATCCGGACATTAAAACTGTTCAAGATACAGTTTTTACCCTTCCAAGCGTCGTTTGTTAGTAATTAATCTATTAAGGGGATCCTTCGTGATCTTCCGTATGAAATTTGAGAGTGAGAACTGGGCAAGATATGCCAAGCCCACAAATGAGGAAACAGATCAGCGCGTTTCATATATGAGTCTATATTGCCTATTTCAAGACCTTAGCTTCAATAACTTTTTTGCTTTTAATGCAGTTCAAATAGATATAAACTTCAGGGCATTATTGAGTTTCAAACGATGTGGGTATTGCCGACAGTTGTGATGAGATTGCAATCGATATATACAGATACAGATACAGCATCAGGGCTAAAGCTTCAATTGAGTAGAAATCTATGAGTGCCAAGGTCAGATGAATATTACATAAGACAAATATGCGCTTTCTACTTTGCTAGCCAAGTCGAAGATCGCTTCCAGTAAGTAAATGTTTTACTCAAATCTAAAGCTAAGCGCATGGTGTACCCAAGCTTGGCAATCTGCTCAATCACTTTTTGGCTTATTTGCTTTAAGTTATTTTCACTTGAATTCATGAAAATTTAAGTTTCAAAGAAGCTTTGGACTTGAATGCGTTGCGACATGAACTTCATATTTTATATAATTCAACAAAAATTTCATTTCTTTTTAATTGGCTTCATGCAAATTTCACTGTGTCTTGAATGCAGTTTGCGAATTCTAAGAAAAATATTTTTAAGCTGAATGCATTTGAAGCGCGCATTAAATATTTGCTTCATTTCTATGGAAAATATGACTAGTCGACTATGAATAATTGAGCTAATTTGCCAGTTGAGAGCCTGAGTGGCTTTTTGGCCAACAATTTTAATGAACATCGAGGCCAGGCTTCAGCTGCCTGCACAGTGAGCAGATCCCTTAAGCCCCAACAACTATAGAGACTAGACGCTCATTTTGTGGCAACTACGTGACATCTAAGCTAATTATTTGTAGCAATTGAAGGTATTTTAATTGTAAGCGGGGTAAAAATATGGCCGTGGCCATGGCCAACAAGTGCATGGCAAAGCCATTTAATGACCGTTGACATGGTTTCGTATTATGCAAATTAGGCGGTCAAATGCCAGAGAAAACGCAATTAGTCTCCACACTCACCCACACACACACAGACAGAGTTGGTAGTGTGCGTAGTCTAAGCCCATTCGACAGTTGATAATGGAAGAGAAGTGTGAGTCGATTTATTTGGCAGTTAAAATTGTTTGCACAGCAGCTACGATTGACCATTTTAGGCCACTTTGGTGCTTGACGTAATTGAAGGCAATGTCAATATTTCAGCTAAATGTTGACGGGCTGACAGTTCCAGTCTAGAGCAGCCAAAGAGCCAAAACACAAATATTTACCAACTTCTCAGTCTCTCCCCACCTCTCTCCTTCATTTCACTTAGCTAAATATTAATTTCAGTTTGTGAAATTTGTGAGAAAGTTTTGCCATATAGAACTAAGGTAAAATTTCAGCTGAAACTTTTGCTCAAATTTTATTGAAATTTCCTTTTGATACCTTTTCAATATGAAGACAATTGAGTCTAAGTTGTTGACAAACGCAGCCAATTTAAAACTTATTGGCAGCGAAAGTTTTTAGTTTCTCTGCCCAAAAGTTGATGTGGCAAAATTTTTTGCTCAATTTGCTGTTCGCTTGGCCATTAATTTCGCAGCACGTCCGTTATTGTTTAGCAGCAAAAGTGCCTTGACGTGCGCTATCAAAAAATCGACCCCAATTGATTGCCATCAAATTCAATATATGTATGGGCACTGGCAATAAAACGATCACCACGTGGCCGCGCTCAATTTTATGCACCCTTCATACCCTGTAGTTGGAGAGGGATACCACGCACTTGTATGAATGTAGGCAAGAGAAGAAGTAGGAGAGGAGAGGCAAACTTTTAAAGGCTATAATAGCATTGGACTGACGTCATTCCAGTTTATCTTTCTCATGAGACCTTGAGATAGTGCGAACAATGTCTGTCTTCGTTGAAGATAGAGCGTATATAAAAGATGAATTTAGTATGAACATATTTCAGACAACGCTCGTATATAAATTCTTGTGAATCTCAAGAGAAATTTATGTACTTTTTAAATGCGAATTCCAGCTTAGTTTAAGCAGCTGCAGGCTCATCATAAAAACTTGAGCTTTATTTGAGCCAGCCCATGAACCATATTCATCGTATTCTACACGCATTTAGGCCCACAGTTAATGATATGATTTCGTTGTGAAATATTATTTACAATAAATATACAGACATTTAAATTATATAAAAGTCAAGCGAGATATATATGTGTATATATTAAATAACTTGTTTGCAAAAAGAGCCCATTAATATGGAATTTTCGACCTGGTCGATCTGTTGGATGATCGAAAATTTCTCTATGCTCCAGCTAGAGCAGAGTTAACTTAGTTAACATATTTTAGTTACTTTTTCCTTGTTGCTAAGAAATTTAAATAAAAGAAGCAAAGTTGGCAGATAGCTCATCAATAGCAGATCAGATGTCGAGAACTCCTTAGCAGTATTTCAACTGAAATTGAATTAGCTTTGATAGTCTAAGATCAACTCACACAAGCTCATAGCATCTCTCAAGCTGTTCCATTAAGAAACTGATCCAATTTACTCTTCCAACTCATTTAATCTCTGCCTACAGGATATTGGTTAGTCAACTAAGCTGCACTTGAAACATTTTCACGTGTTTCAAATTGCGTTTTATGGCCATGTCGAGTTGTGTTTGCCCTGCCCCACGCGTCATGCGTCCAACAGTTGGGTCACGTGCGACCAGAGCTTAAAATGTTGAATGAGAGCGACACCAAAACCAAAGCGAAAATCAAAAAAAAAAAATATGAAGATATACGAAAGTCTTGGGCAATCGTCTTAGCTGGAAGTTCAATACGATTTTGCTAACGTTAGCACAATTTGTCGAATTTCTGTGCTGCTTCAACTTTAAATGTTGCCGTCCTTTGAGTGGCATGGACAAATAAATACACACAGCAAAGTTATCTTTACTCGTTTTGTTTGCTCAACACTTGAGCTTCCATTGGTAACAACGAAGCAGCGACAACAATGAAAATCAACTTGAAGTTACATTTGAATAGTTCACTTTGGACAAAGCCCCAAAAATGGAAATGCAGCAGCATTTAAGTGGTTGAAAGCGACAAGGGAGTGCCAGAGCGAGAGACATGATAATTAATCTGTCAAAAACATGGGTCACTTCTCTAGTGGGTCCAACTTCAAAGCATTCTGGCCGTATACAACAATGCGGCCCAGCCAAAAATCTACATTAAATTCTAATTTCCATACCAGTTAGGAGCACAATATCCTGTTTAAGAGCAACCACACCGTAAACAATTTGCCTGTCCTGTCCGGTCCTCGACGGGAAATGAGTTCCGAGTCGAAAAGCCGTCACGCGCCTTAAAGCATGCTACGGTTTTTAAAACTTGCCGCTAGCTTAAACTAATGGCACGCATTAATCAAAGGACGCGTTTCTAGCAGCACAAAAACCTTTTTCACTAGGCCAAAACCTCGCTTTGACGGCCAGCTAATACACATAATATTCTATGCTTAACAATTAACTACAGCGCGACTGAGCTATACTCTGTGAAGCTGGGCATACTGTGATGTATATGACAGAGTATTTTAGAGCTTTTACATTAAAGATTTGGTTATATGTGATATAAATTTTGGGCAATTTAAATTAAATTTTATTATTTATTTTTACATTTTAACCCTTTCTGGCCTATGCAATTCTAGGCACACGTAGCACAGCCATTTTGAGTGTCAAGCACGTTTTTTGTTGAAAAGGCAAAGGATGTTTCTTAGAGGCCACCTTCGAGCCTCATCTAAATAAATCATTATTTTATTTTTGTGAGCGACTTTTCTGCATGGCCAAATTCAATTAGTAGCACAGCCTGAAAGTGTGTTTCACACACACACACACACACTTTCAAGCAGGCGTCAGGAAGGCACTCAACACTTTTGTAAGTTCCCCCGTATATCAGCTTTAATTGAATTTGCGGCATGCCACTCGCTCAAGTGCTTTAAATTGTGCCAAGTGTCTTGAATATGTAGCGCTAAAAAATGAAAAAATTCGCCAACTTTTTGTGCCAATTTGACTAACAAAATAGAAAAAGGCAAGCAAACAGAAGACTTATTAGAGCAGAGCAAATTGGACTTGGTCCTGTTGATTGCCTGCTCAGACGAGCTGAAACAGAAACCGAAACACAGAAACAGAAGCAGCAACAGCAACGGCAAAGGCAACGGCAACTCGTACTCACATTTAGTTAAAGATGGAATTGTGTATTTAAGACGCTTTAACATGCAGAGCGGCGCCAGTGAATGTCTCAAGCGCCTTTGGCTTGGCTCTGGCTGTGGCTGTGGCTGTGACTCTGGCTCTGACTGGTTTTGTTTATGTGTGTAAGTGATATTTATTTGCACTTTGCTGACTGGCGCCAGACTCCGGCACACTCAACGCACACACACGAACACACTCATTCATACACACACACTTGTACGCACGCACAAACAGTTTGACGTGTCGCGTGTTAGCGTCTTTTTTGACTACGTCTACTTTGTTGGCCGAAATGCGGTGGCAACCACAACGTTCAATGTCCAAAAGCGAACTGAAAGCATCCTATAAAATTGAATCACTTTCAGACACTTGACACTGCGGGCACGCGCAGGCGCTTGACCCAGTCGAAGAGCGGCTTCAAGCAGCAAATAAATGAAAGGTGGGAGCTGCCATTGAGCGCCCAATTTGAAGCTAAGCATCTGTAGCAACAGCAATTGGCATGGCCGGAAGAACACGAAGAGTCAACAAGTTCACATTCCCTAACTAATATTGTTCTTTCCTGCAAAGTATACCCTGTAAATAGCATATGCAATAAAATATTATATGCCGGGTATCGTCCAGGCGGTCAGATACGCCCACACTTTTCATGTGTGTGCGCACATTTTCTTTGGCTGTTTAACTGTTTGTTACATTTCTCGTATTTAGCTGTTTGCCTTCTGCCTTCCTGTTCGCATGTCAAGGAAGGAAATCGTATTTATAGCCAGCCCAGGCCAAGCCAAGTAGATTTTTATACCTATCTAGCTTATGAGCTGGGCAATTATGCACAATTAAAGTTTAGCTTGTTTTTGATTCAATTTACCTTTGTCAAGTAAAAATTTCACTCTGCGACAGACAATTTAATTAGTCGTCAAATTCAATTATTCAATTTATAATCAAAGAATCAATTTTTTTATTTGGCAAATTTTACAGTTTCAAAGCTGGAGCACCAAAGATTGGCTCACCTCCTCCATAGATTGACCAAAAAATTTAGATGCATGCCCACTGGGGCGTCTTAGTTCAGCAAACATACAAGTAAGTGTGCTTCGGTCGGGAATGCATGACTCAAAGATACTCTGAAAACTAGACTGAGCTACGATTTCAAGCCTTCTACGCCTTAATTAACAATAATAAGAAGTTGGGATACAATATAAAATATTCTCATACAGCGTATGGTACAAAGAAATTATATTTAAAATGTTCTGAAACATTTGTGGTTAGAGACAAAATGCTTGGCAAACAGACAGGCAGACAGACCGATAGCTAGTTCGAGTCAGCTCATCATCCTAATCAAGCGTATATATACTTTATGGAGTCTGCCACGCCTCCTTCTGCCTGTTACACACATTTTCACAGAGCCATTATACCCTAGTCTTAATGGGTTCAGGGCATAGCAATGTTAGACCTACTCCACAGCTAAAATTGGACATGCTATAACACACCATTGGGCAAAGCCCATAATATCGTCAAGCGTAGGTAGTCAGTTAAGTTCTTACTTTATTTACCTCTTATATTAAAGTGTTGATATATTAAAAAATACATTTTTAGTTGCAATTAAAGCGCATCCAAAAAGACAAATTAAACACAATTGAGCAATATTTTAATATAAAATCAAAATGTATAAAAATGTTTTCTTTTTCAACTATTTTCTTATTTATTGCCTATTAAAGTTATCTCTTATTTATATAAAATAAATAAATGCGAAATAAATATTTCAATTATGTAATCCAACGCCAAAGCGAAAGGAATTATTCCATTGTCAGCTTTGTGCGTAAATTATATATATATATATATATATATATATATATATATATATATATATGTGTGTGTGTGTGTGTGTGTGCATGCGTGTATGTATGCGTATTTCCTTGCTTATTTATTGAGCACTTGAAACACAATACAAATGCAATTAATTTGTTATTGCAGTGGCACAAGGGTCGCATACTCGCTGCCATTCATTTTCATTGCGTATACGACCCGTGTGTGTATGTATGTGTGTGGCACTGAAATGGCAATCGTTTGTGCCTGGCATATAGACGTGTTTTCAATGGCAAATATGCGCTAAAATTATAAAAAAATATGTCATAGCATTGCATGTGAACTGTGGCAGCTGCTCTGACACGATTGCGAGACAGCGTCCCATGTCCCATGTCTCATGTGTCTCATTGTTTACGATATTGTTGCATAAATATCATAAATATAAACTGTTAAGCAATTGCAATTGGTCCTTGATTATGGGTCTGTTCGTGTTTCTGTGTGTGTCTGCTGTATTCCAGTTTGCGTAGCTGACGCGTTCATTAGTTACCATTGAGCCAAAGAGCGAAAAGGTCGCCACGCCTCGTTAATTGCAAGCCAAAATAAAAAAGCAAAAAATCGCTTTTCATGACAGCTGAAGCTTACAAATTGGCCTGCATTGTTTTATTTTCTAACATCGGGCTTAACAAACAGTTGATACCCTAGAAAATTTATGATTGATTAGCACAAAGCGAACAAGAATTTGGTTGTTTTTTTCAAGAGATAGAAAGGGAAAGAGAGTGAAAGAGAGATAGATTCAGAGAGGAAGGAGAGAGAGAGAGGGAGAGAGCGATAAAGAGAGAGACAAAGTGATAGGTTGAGAGAGAAAGAGAGAGACAAATTGATAAAGGGAAAGATATAGAGAGAGATACAGAGAGAGATTGAGATAGAGAGAGGGATACAGAGAAATGGAGAGAGAAAGAGAGAGAGGGAGATAGAGATAGATAAAGAGAGAAAAAGAAAAAGATAGAGAGAGAGGTATAGAAAAAGAGAAAGAGAGAGAGAAACAGAGCGAGATAGATTGAGATAGGGATAAAAAGAGAGAGAGAGAGAGTGATTTTTTAAGTATTTAATTTTCTTGTTTAAATTTGCTATTATATTATTGTTTTAAGTATTATTTACTAAGTATAATATTTATATATCTCTAACTGTTTAGTCTTACTGAGTATTTCCGACTCATGCACACGCTAAAGCTATTTCGTCGTTGTTTTGCATTTTCTGCTGTTGTTGGCTAAGCGCACTTTAAACACGACAATCATCTATCGTTGCGTGAATGCTCACCACAGACGCGGACATAGAACACAGACAGGACAAGGCAGGACAAGGCAGGATAGACAGGACAGCACAGGACAGGACATATCAATCCCACACGAGTTGCGCTCAAAGGCACATTCAATGTATGGGGTTACCATAGTTGGGACCATAACATGGCAACAGCACTAATGCCAAAAGAGTGTAGCAAGGACTTTTTCATCGTATGGCTTCACTATTGCCCGAACGTGTTCATATTGTGTTTACGCGTAGGAGGCAGCAAATGCATACACACAGGGCTGGAGCAATGCAGCTAAGTCCGGTTTAACCTGTTGCCTAGACTGGCATAAATAGAGCGCACCGACGGCTAAATAAATTGATTCAACGAAAGAGAAATTGTGAATTGAGAAAAAAAATTCCTAAGCTTGCAAAAAACACAATTCAAAGAGATGGAAAATAAAGATTGAAGATTGAAGATTGAATAATAAAATCAAGTGTGGAAGAAAATTATAGAATTTTTATTTTGAATACTTCTTGAATGCATATCGAAATCTTGCTGCTGTCTGACAACTGTCTAACTTGGCCAGCCCTGCTCCCAGGAGCAAGACAAAGGACACGTAAATATGCACATGAGGCAAAAGTGACGTTAAATGCGACAACGAGACAAGGACAATGCCAACTGTCTGGCTGCTAGGCATGGGAATTAAGTCACATCGTCCTGTCACTGTCAGTGCCGACTATGAAAGACATGAGCACATATATCATCGATATGCATAAAAGACAATGAAGTCGAGAGTAATTTGAATTAAAGTTAAGTTTCTATGTGAGCCGTAATCACCTGCAGTCGCATAATGCTCGAGCTGTAATCGTTGGAGCTTGTCTAAGTACGCATACTCAAGGCAGCGGCGCAGCGTAATTCGGCCGTGGGCCAAAAAGTTGAGATTTCTGTGACAATTCAAATTAAATATGCAAATGTGCGCTGGGCGTTGGGCCTTGGGCGTCGGTAAATGGCGCCAACAACAGTTGCCATTTCATTCTGTTGATGTATCCTTTGCTTCACTGAATATGATTTCACTTTTTTTATATTCTTATTTCTTTTTTATCGATTTTGGCTGCGACTGTTGACTGGAAGCAGACGCTGGCGAAATCATTGCGAATCTCCTGGCGCGATGCCGGCTGTGAAAATGAGAAATGAAGTAACGTATATTGAAGTGTGCTTATATGTACACATTTCTATGTATACGTTATATGTATCATTGATGGCAACATAATCTGCTGTCTTTCTAGGAAGCGAGATTTTACAACGAAATTAATAAGGCAATTTTCCACTGCCACAGCTAATGCATTCTGACAGCAACTGCCCGAGCTATAAATATTTATGACATCTTTCAGGGAAAATAAATAAAACAAAATCATTTTAAACCAGCACAAATCTAAAACGATAAATATTTCATGTCAGCTCCTCAAAGTATGCAACAGAATTCTGCGATCGTTACTTTACAAGCAGCTGCTTATGCATGTGTATGTGTGCACACATACACAAATGCATATATAGTTCGAGATGGACTTAATTTAAGGCATGATTGAGAAATCCTTTAAAAGTAAAAGTACAGGTAAAAGCAAGCCGAAAGAGGTGACTGTGGCAGGTGGTCAAGCTGCCATAAAAAAAGTTTCACAATAGCCCGAAGCAACTGGCAGGTCAAGGAGAAATGTCAGGCAACGTACACATGTTGTGTATATAACTACTTTTAGTTTATTTGTTTAAACTAGCCAAGATGTGATGCCGTGTACTGTCAGAAAACTTTCGTAAGTCTACAAATAGTTAGCAAAGAAACAGACAGACAACGACTTTTCATGCGCTTTAAGTAAATATAGCTCGATATAGTCCCGCCATGTATACCAAATATAGCTGCAATAATAATGTTAACATTAATTTTGTTGATAAAATAGCTTTAATTAAAAGTCAATTTCAACTCTTTTTAATAACCAACTTTCAATATTAAAAAACAAAACCGCTTTTAGCTCGAGCTAAATGTAAATAGTTAGATTTGCAGTTTTAATTTCAATTTGTTGCAACTAGCGCATTTTATTAAATTATTCAAAGAGAGTACAAAAAACTTAAACAAAATTTGTTTTCGCCTAATTACACAGTTGAGTTAACTAAATTAGGAAAACAGATTGTAATTGTATTTATCTTTATAAGAATTTCGCTGTATGCCTAACAAAAATATAATAATTGCCAATGCAATCATCAAAGAGAAAGTTAGTTGAGTTAGCCAGGCCCAAGGCTCAGCCAGCTTTTAAATGAGTTAACAATTTCTTATTCAAATGTGTTTAAGCAATGTAATTTAAGTTGCTATTGTTGCTGCCATTTGTTGTATTTACCTGTCACATTCATGTACAGGCAGATAGATAATTCAAGGCAGCTTTTATTTTATAATTTGTTTTCGGTTCATTGATTAGTTCAATTGCTATACAAAATAATCATATCCAGTAAATTAAAATTACGTACGTACAAAATATTCCTTTTACAAACTAATATCAAAGTTTAGTTATCAACAGTTTAATTTGTGACCGTCGCATGCAGCATGCGCGTGCCTTGCTCTCTCTATATGGTACTATACAGTTAATACATTTTATATCATTTGTATATTTCCTATAGCTGTTGCATCTTGTAAGTATTTTACTATTTGCTGTCTGTATTTGTTTCGATTGTTACGTTATGGCTATTAACTTCAATTTCCATTCTATTGTTACATTATTTTCCTTCTTTTTTTACAATATTAACTGCAGTCCGTTGCTTCAGCTAACTTACATGCAATCAATGACTTTGTATTTCTTTTTATCACAATTCCATTTAATAATTTCCATATTTGTTATCAATTCGCTGTAGATTGTTAAAACCTTTCACTGTTCGGGTTAATATGGTTTGCAATGCTATTGTCAACTAGTTTACAATAAATAATGAAAGTTGTTTATGAATGATAATCAGGCTTTTGGTTGAACAGTTAGAAAGTTCATGCTCTATACATATATATGTACATCGGAGAATAGTTATTGGGATGGATACTAGGTTGAAACTCATAATGTTGGTTGCTAAATCATAAATATAAAAATAAATCCATTTGCAAATTACAGTAAAGCTGTCAAATCAGACTATTGACCGATTCGTCAGTTTTGTTGCTGCTGCTGCTGCCATCCGCTGTGGCAAATGTTGCGGTTTCCGTTGCAGCTGTTGGTGGTGATGCAGCAGCTGCGGCTGCTGCTGGTGCTGGCTTGCCTGCATTTAATTTTGCTTTAACTTTCAACAGCAGAGCTTCAAAGGAATCTTCCGGCTGCGGTGCAGCTGGTGCTGCCTTGGGGAACACATACGAATGGTAGTTGTTGATACCCGCATTGTCTATAAATTGCCAAATATAATTAATTACTTTAATTAGATTCAACACGTTGTCAACTTACCCAAATCTGCATAGGAGGCGCGACAGAATGCGCGTCGTCCGCCAAAGCTAATGTCATACATGTTGATTAGCGCATCTCTGGGGCTCGTGTCGATTGCCGTGAAAGCGTCCTGTGCACGTTCAAAGGTCACAAAGCCATACTTCATGCTGTTCAATAACAAAAAGTTAATTAAGTTAACTGAACATACTTTTAAAGTCTTTTCTCTGTTGTCAACATACCCATTCTCCTTGTAGTGTATTGTTATTTGTTTGATACTGCCATAGGGCAAAAATTTGCGACGCAACAACTCCTTGGTGGTATCTGCCTCAATGCGACCCACATAGACAATGCGGCGCTCCTCAACGGCTGGCTGTGAGACATTGCGATCGACGAAGCCACGTCTATTGTTATTGTTGTTGCCACTGCCATAGCGTGTGGCCGATGTGGACCGCGAACGTGAACGTCTGTGCGGACTACGACTCCGATCACGATCGCTGTACTCAGAGCCCGATGTGGAGCAATTGTCACGCATTTGATTTTTCGAGCGGCGCTTATTGTAACTCGTGCGACGTTGTCGCTGCTGGCGTTCGTATTTTCCAGCTTCCGAATTGGACGAGGAACTCACCGAGCTACGATGACGACGGGTACTGCGCGACGAGTAGCCACCACCGCCAATACTGCTGCCACAGGCTGGCATCGCATCCGAATGACGCAAACGTTCCGTTGAGTTGGAATTGGAGCGTGAACGATATGAAGCCATGCTGCTGCACGTGGAAGACGAAGATGAACTGCAGCTAACTTCATTCAGTGCCGAGCCTTCAATGCGACGTTTACGATAGGAGCGACGCGTTCGCTCGCGCGATTGCCGTGTCGTCGGCAATGTCAGCAATGGAAATTCGGGTTGCAGATCAGTTTGTGTACCCATGCTGACCATGCGCTTTCTTATACGATTCTTGGGCAGATGCATGATGACCATATCCTCGCCATGCTGTCCATTCTTATCTGCAGCACCCGTTGTCGCCATCGCTGCAGGTGTCGCCAGCGCTTCGCAGTTCGTTTGCTTAACCACCTCACTCTGTATGCTGGCTATCAGCGAGTTGGTCATGTCCCTGCCCGCATCACTGCCATTGGAGATGTTGTACAATAGCACAGAGGATTTTAACAGTGAGCGTGATGAGGCTGTAGTTGTCTTGTTGTCTCTTAGTGCAACACTTGCCTGGTGCGGCGGTATCGTAATATCTGTATTACAGCTAACCGATACAATAATAATCTCTTCATAATCCGCCTTAAGTTTACTGCTGGCCACGGCCTGTGCAGTCGGCGCTGCGTCCGTCTCGGACTCAGCCTCCATGCAGTATGTGTCTTTAACTATATCCTTGAGAGGCGGCAATTTCGTTACCCTTGGCACCTTCGCGGTCACCCGCGAATCAATAATCTTTAGCTGCTGTGCTCGTTTCATCTCCAGCATGCGCAACACTTTGTTCTTGGCCACAGTGATTGGATCTGTGGCAACTACTGCTTGGCATGGCGGATACTTCAGACTGTTGACAATGTTGCTAATGGCTGCTTTATGCGGCGATTGTTGCGCCTTCTGAACAGGTGTTGTTGGTGGCAGCACTTTGCAAGGCTCCACTTTTACTTGTTTGGCTGTCATGGCAGCCGGCGTTGCCAGCTGTTTGGATGTAACAATTGTACCGCATCGCCGCTGCTTGTACTCTTCTAGATTGAGTTTGCGCTTGGGTGCAGGCGTAGGAGTCGCTGCGTTCTGAGAGGTAGCTGCCGCATCGCGCTCATGCTTCAACAGCGCTAAATTCTTGCCCCCCAGACCTAGGCCGGTATTAATTGGTTGCGTCTCCGTTGGCCTGGTCAATGCCTGCTGCTGTTGCCTGCCAGGTTTTACGGCAGCCTCTTGAGTTTTCTTAGCAGACACTTTAGACTTGCTGGCAGCGACTGTGCCAGCTGCCTTGTTGCCCACTTTGCGTTTAAGAAACTCGCATTGTTTTTTGTTGGGCACCAGACAAATATTGTTGCTGGGCTTTGGCTTCGTTGTGCTAGCAGTCGGAGCTGCTAGAGTAGGAGGAACAACAACGCTCGTTGACTTGGCTGCATTTTGATTGTAAGCCGACGCTGCCTTGTGCTATGTGGGGACATCATTTGAAGGATGAGTAACATACTTCAAACTGCTTATCGCACACCAATTTGTACTCACCTCTGCGGTATGTATGCGCTTAGCCGTTTGCTTGGGACACCAGGATGGATCGGCTTTTACATTGTCCACATAGCACAAATCATCAGTGGCGATGGGCTCGTCCACTTGTTTGCCCACCCACAGAGACTCATCCACTTCAATCACATCGACGGTCTCTACATCGATGATTGAATCCGAGTCGTAATCGGAGTCACGACTCTTGGATGTTATGACCACAGGATTAGGCAGCGTTGCGACTGGCCTCTCAGCTGTAATGACTTGTGGCTTCTTGGCTTTAACTAATTCTGTTTGTAATTTAATAGGAGTTACTGGTGCCACTGGCACAGCTTTGACATGTTGAATGTTTCGCGGACGCAAAGAATTTACATGGTCAGCGAAATCATCTTTGGTGATAAATTCAGCTAAATCAAAGTTATTCACATCAATATTCAGACCCAGGGCATCCGTTTCAGAGCAAATGGTGTTTGTGCTAAGCGTACGTCGCTTATGCTCCTCGCTGTCCAATACGAATGCATCTGCGGGCAGCAAGCGCTCATCAATCTCATCGTAGTCACTGGAGTGTGACTCATAATCTCCTATGGAAGAGCTGTCGGTGCGTGTACGAAATGTGGAATTGCTGCACTGGCTCTGTACATCATCGTCCCCAAGCGCACGATCGTCCGGATCGGGATTTTCGTCATCAGAATTAATTAGCAGGCTGATCTGACGCTGCTGTTCAAAGGCCGCTTCGGCATCGCAATCTGTGATGCCCCTATAGACCTGGCCATTGAGCATATTCGTATCATCGCTCAGCTGTTGCTCCACAAAGTCGCTGTAGAGAAGCTAAAAAGGTAAAACTTAATCAGAATAATTCTACAGTAGCAATAATTTCACAAACTTTACCAAGTTTTTTCTGTTCTGTAGCTGCTCCTCGGCCTCGTTTGGACTGAGCAACGATTCATCTGTCGGCTCAATGGGCAGAATACCATTGAGTGTGTCGGTTAACTGTAAACTATTTTAGGATTGAGAGATACATGTAGGTGAGCTATTAATTTGATATTTAGGGCCAAAAACGTACTCATCATTGGTTGGCCAGAAACTTGGTTCTGGATCATACTTGACAAAGTTCCCCTCGAAAGGATCCTCGTGAAACACATTCAGCATACGTGAATCCATAATATGTGTGTCTGCAATTGCAATTAAGATAATTAAATGTCAAATTAGAACGACCATATCATTAAGTAGAATCTTTGGTAGGATTATATATTTTCTGTAAAAAAACAAGTAGGCCTTGAAATCGAAATTTTCTTTTAGTTTGTGTGTCAAAAAAAATCGCTGACTTCACTTGCTCAGCGTCAAGAGCGCAGAACGGAATACAATTTTTAAGCGCATTCGTTTTTAAGTCATCAAAATTTTTTTACAAATTTATTAATGAAAAAACTTCTAATGCCCAAAAAAGTGATTACTCGACGTCAGCGCAAGGCGGCAGAGGCAAAGCGACAATCCGAATCGAATGCCCGTACTACAAGTGAAATGAATTGTTGCAATGCGGCAGTAACTGCCACAAATACGCTGGATGCTGTGAAGTCATCGTGCAATGGACCAAAGCCAGATTCTAAGTCGGATGGCACCAAACTTGTAGCTGCAAATACAACAAATACAAAGACAGCCCCACAGCAGCAGCTGGAGTCCGAGGATGTTGCCGAGGAATGTCCCGATGCCAAAACAACTGTAACAATTATCGTTAAGGACAAGACAACCCAGTCGGATAAAAATGTTTTTGATTTGCTTGTCGATGAGAATATACAGAAGCAGGTCGGCCTTGGACCAGAGTGTCAAATGCCGCCGCCACCACCGCCGCCCAATGAGCAGGGGTCGTTTAGCAAATCATTAACACGGCGTGCTGTTGCAACATTCACCAAAATCCAGAAGCTTTCGAAAGTGTTCAACAAGAAGATGAACTACAAGACCCCGCCGGCCAAAGCGACTGAACCGATCAATTTAGCTACCGCTCAATTGGATGAGACTATGAAGACGGCTCTCAATGGACCGCCAGGCAGCGATAATAAAGCCAATAAAACGTGCAGCTGTGAGTTCTGCAAAGTGGTACTAAACCAGCTCTTAGCCGGCAAGAAGCGTGCAAACGAAAAGAAAGTCTGCAAGAACGCCAACAGGCGTCTGCCACCTAATCCGATGCGTTCCATATCGCCAGGACGAACCAATGGCAACGACACTGTGGCAATTGGCCTGCCAGTGGAGGCGAAGTTCGAAGAAGATAGTAAGACTACGCAGACACCTACGATAGCATCTAGGCGGCGCATAATTCAAATGCTCGAGAAAAAGGAGAAGCTGCTGGAGAAGGATGTGCTCAAGAAAATCAAGCAGCTCAACAAGCAAAACACCAAAATAAAGGCAACGGAGCAGCTAATTAAGAAAAACGAGGTCAAGCAATACACCGCAAGGCCAAGTCATCGAGATATCACCGGCCCTCAGACGATATCACCTCCAATGGATGCAAAAAAAAAACCCATGCCTAGACTTGCAGTATTACAAGCTTCATCGGCTGCCAAACAGAAAGCAAGCGAAACCGTAAAAACACCAAAATCTTTTATCAAAGGCAAACAGACAGCCAAGGTAGACATATCAAATGCCATACAGCAACTCGCAACAGCTCCAGTAGATGCACCTCCAGCTGAAGTTATAGGAAACACAGGCTATTTTATTTTAACAGGCAACGATGCCCAACTGACAAAGCAACTCAATAATTTGGCAGCTCGCAACGTGCTAGTTCAAAACTGTGTGCAGCTCGAGCCAGGTGTAACTGATAAATTCGAGCAGCAGCTGGATCTACTAGGCAAGCATCGCGAGCAGGTACTTCAACGCATGAGAGATAAACATGATATGATGGCCAAGCGTAGAATAAGACGCTCAAAGGAACCAAGCAAATATACTTAACTTTAAATAGAAGATGACTAGACAGAATACAGCGAATGACAGTTCGAGCAAGTGAAGTTTTTACCTAAAAGAAATGTCAAAGCCCATAGGAAACCAAAAAATAAATAACTTTTATTCATACTTCTCCAAATAATAATGAAAAATTAATATGGTAACGGGCTAACTGCGTGCTCTATAGTTTATAATTATGCGGTTTTTTGTTTATCCGAAATTAAGATCCCTACATTAAGTTAATAAAAAAGAAATTTTTGCTTTGAGTGGGGACTCCAGTTTTAATGTATTCCAGATATCCACGTGAGTTATGTAGTCTAAGTGCTGCTTCTCAGTCTCTGCCTACTTTAACATTAAGAGAGAGAAAGCTCGATCTGTATGTAAAAACTCAAAAGCTCTCTCGAGGAGTCGAAAGCTTTTGAGCGCACTTTTTGGATGTGCACGTCGAGGAGTAAAGAACATGAAGTGAAATAAATACTTTTAGTTAAATTAAAAAGACAAAACACATTATTTATAAACAATTAAATATTAACATGTTATGTTAACAAAACTTGAAGTGAAATAAATACTTTTAGTTAAGTTAAAAAGACAAAACACATTATTTATAAATAATTAAATGTTAACATGTTATGTTAACAAAACTGGCGCAGCCGACGGAGTAACCAAAAACATTAAAATACTCACTAAAGTGCAGTTTTAAACGAATTTGTGCTTGTACGCAATTCCATACATATCAACCTTGTGCTAAAGACACATAACCTGAAAAGTAACGCGAAACGTGCCTTTGCAACTGCATTCATCTCTGTATGTATGTGTGACTGTGTGTTTAAATCAGCAATTGCACACACATACACCAGCATCTCGGAGTGAACTTATTCTGTTCACAATTGGTTCGATGACAAGTCCAGAAGAACATTTGGCATCGATTGGCGACGAGAACTAACAGAACTAATTCTGTTAGCATATTATACGATCTAAAGAACTCAACGGCTATTTATTCTTTGATAGCGATGGCAAACGACTTTACTTTATCGTTTGGGGATATCCTTAAGGATGCCCATCACATTCACGAGTACAGAGGAGACAACTCAAGGGCTCTATCATCATTTATTCGTGAAGTGGATATGATATTTTCATTATTACCTCCCACATCTCCCGCAGGAGTCTACGTCTTTCGCCGTGTCATCCTCAACAAAGTTCAAGGCGAAGCTCTACATGTTGTAAGAACCATCGAGAATTCCGAGCCGTCATGGAATGACATCAAGACGATTCTTATTCGGAATTTTGGCATAAAGGAGTCTTATAATCAACTTTACCAAGAGGCGTTTATGCTAAGTAACAAAAACAATATTACAGAATATTTTAAGTCTTTAAAAAGTATAATGTGTAAAATTAATGAAAAATATGAATATGATAATGTAAAGCGTCCTGAGTTTAGTCCCAAAAATGTCGAAGAAACTATGTTAAGAACATTCTTGAAAAATATCGATGTAAATTTAGCTTCAGTCGTAATTAATAGAAATGTTAAAAATTTAAGAGAAGCTTTCGATTTATTAGAAACCGAAGGTCTTATTAGAAATCCTAAACAAACATTTTCACAAAGTAATGAAAAATCAAACAAAACGGAAAATCAAAACTATCAATACCAAAATAATAATACATATAATCAAAAAGACCGATTCTACAAACCAAATTATAATAATCAAGATCACAATGCAAAACACAACAACAATTTCCAAAATGTAAAAGCAAATTCAGGAAACTTTCGATCAGGAACACAAAATTTAAATTCAAATCAGGACTATACAAATCAACAAAGTCATGTGTCAAAAATGGAAATTGATCATGCCGAAGTAAATAGAGCTAATTGTAGCCAATTTAAAAATGATAATCAAAATCAAAGCATCACTCATGAATCTGAGCAAAAGAACTGTTCTTGCCATGCAAATTTTCATACAATTGCCTCGAAAAATCACTTCCTTTGATTAAGTTAACTTTAAACAATGAAATAATCACTGCCTTGATTGATACTGGTTCAACAACTTCCATATTAGATAGGAATAAATTGTTACAATATCCTCGAAGAACTTTGTGTCACCCACTATCATTTGCATCTCTTAATTCAAAATCGCTAATAACGCAAGAAATCATAACTGATTTACCTCTTGAATTTAAAGAAGACGCCACAATGAGTTGGAAATTGACATCATTTAATAACAAATCATTCGATGCTATTATAGGGCAAAACATTCTTAAACCATTAAATGCTCTTATTGATTTTTACCACAATACAATTACGATTAATAATAATACTATTCAATTTCAAAATAGTTCACCATACTCTGATGAAGCAAATCAAATTGAACCAATCAAAATAGATGATAGAATACAGAGAATTCTTTTTAATGATTTAAATCAAGAAGAAAGCAATGCACTAACAAAAATTTTAAGTAGATTTAAAACATTAATATTTCTTGAAGGTCAGTGTCTTAGCAATACGAACATTATTGAACATCAGATAAAAACAGTAGTGGATAAACCCTTATATTGTAAGATTTATAGATATCCTCAAATACATGAGCAAGAAATATATAAACAAATTGAAGAAATGCTACAACAGGGAATAATACGTAAAAGTAATTCCCCATATAATGCCCCTTTATGGCTCGTACCCAAAAAAGCTGATAACAGTGGAAAGAAAAAATGGCGCATAGTTATTGATTACCGCAAATTGAATGAAAACACAGTAGACGATAAGTTTCCTATCCCCAATATAGAAAGTATACTGGATAAGTTAGGAAGAGCGCAATATTTTTCTACTATAGATTTAGCGAAAGGCTTTCACCAAATTCTTGTTCAGGAACAAGATAGGGAAAAGACAGCGTTTTCTACCCCCCACGGGCATTACGAGTTTAATCGAATGCCATTTGGGCTCAAAAATGCTCCTGCCACTTTCCAGCGTCTTATAAACACAGTTTTAAAAGAAATAAATAGAATTTGTGTCGTCTATCTTGATGACGTTCTTATTTTTTCCACTAGTTTTTCAGAACATGTTGGCCATATTCACACAATCTTTAAAAAACTTTCTGAGGCAAACCTTAAGATTCAAATCAACAAATGCAATTTCTTCTCAAAAGAAACTCAGTTTTTGGGTCATGTTTTAACCCCCGAAGGAGTTAGGCCTAACCCAACAAAAGTTAACAACATTCTCCAGATTAAAATTCCGAAAAATGTTAAACAAATTAGAGCTTTTCTAGGAATCACTGGGTATTATAGAAAGTTCATAAAAGATTTTTCTCAAGTAGCTTATCCATTGATTAAATGCCTTAAAAAGGATGCTAAGATCGATGTTAATGAACCCAACTTCATGATTGCATTTGACAAATTAAAAAGAATCATAACTGAGGCACCGGTACTTAAGTATCCGGATTTCAAAAAGAAATTTCAGCTTATCACTGATGCTAGTAACATAGCTTTAGGTGCTGTTTTGCAACAGGATGGTCATCCTATTTGTTATGCAAGTCGTACATTAAATGACCATGAGAAAAACTATTCCTCTATACAAAAGGAATTACTAGCTATAGTGTGGGCAACAGCTTATTTCCGCCCATATCTCTATGGAGTCAAATTCGACATTTTGTCCGACCACCAACCACTTAAGTGGCTGCTAATTAAATATAACGGAAAAGAACTTAATGAAACACTTTATAGATGGCTTGTGAAGCTTAGCGAATTTAATATAAACGTATCATACATTAAAGGAAAGAATAACCAGGTAGCTGATTTTTTAAGCCGAATAAGCAACGACGAAATTTGTGCCGTAAACATAACTAAATCTTGTAGCTCTTTAGAAAACAATGTTGATGATGTTAGTACCCAACATACACAAGCCAAAGACTTTGTGGACACACCTATTTTAGGCAACTTAGAAACAGTTGTTAATAGATTTAAAATACAAATCATTCTAACAGATAAAAAAACAATGGAGTTTGAATATAAGAATAGAAATAAGAAAATTTATTTAAATTTAAATGATCTTGAAAATGGAATGGAAGAAATTTTGAAGAATCATATCATAAAAGGCAAAGTAGGAATATTCAGTGAATATAACGACCACCAATACAATAAATTTCAACAAAAAATCATCCAAATTTTCGAAGGCAATAAAAATGTTAAATTTGTAAAATGCTCATTTCACGCAAAAGACATTGAAAATGAAGAAGATGTGTATAAAGAAATTGAACGATTCCATAAATATTATACTGGTCATTCAGGTATAAATGAAAATTACCAAAGTTTAAAACAGATTATTTACTTTCCAAAACTTCAACATTACATCCAAAAGTATATCAACAATTGTGACATTTGTAATCGGTGTAAATATGATAGGAACCCGGTAAAAGAAAAATTTAAATATACGGAAACACCAACTGATATAAGAAAAATTGTTCATATGGACATCTACACAAATTCAAAATGTAATTTCCTAACTTTTATTGACCGATTTTCAAAATTTGCTACTGCCTTCTATCTTGAGGATCGCAATAATCAAACTATAATCGAAAAAATGCGCTTGTACAAATCCCAAAGAGGAAGCTTTGAAAAATTAATAACTGATAATGAATTTAATAGTGTAAATATAAAAGAATATTTAAGAAATGAGAATATAGAAGTTCATTTTGTGAAACCGAACAGCCACACTGGCAATGCGGACGTCGAAAGATTCCATAACACTCTAACAGAAAAAATAAGAATTATATACCTTGAAAACAAAGATCTATCAATCAAAGATAAAGTTAGTAAAGCTATAGAATATTATAATAACAGCTATCACTCAACAATACAAGATACGCCAATGAATATTGAATATGGAAATTGTGACAAAAAAATTATACATAATAACATTCTAAAATATAAGAAACATTACATTACATCCGTAAATCAAACAAGAGAAAATTTTGAAGAAACTAGAAACGAAGGATATATAAAAAACTATAAGTCTCTAAGACACAAAAATGAACCGAAATATAGAAAATTTAATTTAAGTAATGTCCATAGTTCCAACATAAAAAGAAAGAAGAAATATCAGACTTCAACATAACATAACATAACATAATCTCCCACAATTGTATTCCTAACCCTTATATATATATATAAACGAATTGTAAAACTCAGGAGAGTCTTAATTTAAGCGATGGGGAAGTTATGTAGTCTAAGTGCTGCTTCTCAGTCTCTGCCTACTTTAACATTAAGAGAGAGAAAGCTCGATCTGTATGTAAAAACTCAAAAGCTCTCTCGAGGAGTCGAAAGCTTTTGAGCGCACTTTTTGGATGTGCACGTCGAGGAGTAAAGAACATGAAGTGAAATAAATACTTTTAGTTAAATTAAAAAGACAAAACACATTATTTATAAACAATTAAATATTAACATGTTATGTTAACAAAACTTGAAGTGAAATAAATACTTTTAGTTAAGTTAAAAAGACAAAACACATTATTTATAAATAATTAAATGTTAACATGTTATGTTAACAAAACTCGTGCAGTTGAATTCGAAATCGATAACATTTTCAATTTTGCGCGCACAGTTTCAACAAGTTGGCAACGCTGGAATGCACCAAATGGTCGTACAAAGCGAAACAGCAAAAAGCAGCGTGGCACGCGTTAAGCAAGCAACATGCTGTTATTTTGCCACCCTCAATATGCCGCATGTCAAATGCCGCTTCACTGTATTTAAGATGCTAGTAATACTTGCAAATTGACAACAATTTGTTTCCAGATAAGTGAATTCATACATTTGATGGCATATTAACAAACCGCCTGGCATTATGAAAACAATAACAACAAACACCACACAATATACATACATAGACATACACACACATGCGTACGCACACAAGGGCAAAGCCGCGACCACGTGTGTGTGAGTGCCGCCGCCGCACCATGTGCTTTTGCTTTGAGCATGTATGAGGTGTATGCGTGTACTTGCACGCGTATGTATGATGCTTAACAACAATCTAGTCGAATATTGTTAAACTTTACTATCACATTTCACACAGACACACACACGCATTTCCGAAGCACACACGTTTTGTTTAAAAAGCAATTTCGTGATAAAAAGTGACAAGAGATGGCAGACGACGAAATGCGAGCTCTCCAATTCCATGCGATTTTTGTTACATATATACACACATACAAGTACATGTATGTTTAGCTCGCATATCATCTGCACTTGCTGGCGGGAGCACCTGTGTTTAGTTAGTACACTTTGATTTGCAACACTATTCGGATATTACCTTTAAAGAATGCTGCACTAAACTATGCTTCAATTGATAAGTTAATCACTGTTTTTAAATTGTCTTGCTAGTTTTGTTTTGCCGTTTTCTGTTTGTCTGCTTTAACCTCACATGTTGAGCGCCGCGTCTGCAGTGCCAACACACAAACACTGTTTGGACTTTTTAATTTATTTAATATTGTTAATTTATTATTTTTGTACGCTATTAATTAATTTGAAATTTTGTATCAAATATAACACGGATTTTATTATATTTTTATCTAATAACTTTATGAATCACATTGCTGAAATGTGTTCACGTGGACGCGAACCGCGGGGAATAATTTTATTTCGAGAATGTGACCGTTGTCGCTGTTTTTCTTTACAGCTGTTTCCTAAACAGTGACCAATTCAGTAACAGTTGGGCTTACTGTTATTAGCATAAACAAAACAGAAAAAAATAACGTGCTCTGCCGTTAACAGTAAACATAATTTTAAAAAATTAATATAAAACGAATGTGACGAGAATTGGCGCTAACACATTTGTTTAATACAATAAATTTATATTTTTTGTCTGTAGATGTGGTATCAATACATAGCATATGAACGTCATATATTGTGTGAACATATAGGACCAGTAGCGAAGCTAAGTTGTTCACTTTTCGATTTCATTAACATCGATTCTTTTGGGCGATGCTTTTTATTCACATTCCATCGTTGCCTACGTAGCATTACAGTTATACATGCATTGAACTTATAAGTAAATTCTCCGGTACTTTCCACACCTCATTAATATGATCTACTCCATAAATTGGCAGTTTTAAAATTCAAAAGTTATTGGTTATCTGATTTATTTGTGTGGACATTAAATTAGCAGCTAGAGAGACAATGTGGGGCTGCCAGCATACGAATATACATATTGTTTTTTGTTTTTTTTAATGAAAGAAGATATATCTGAGATTGTGGGACAAAGCATTCTTGAAAATTGTCCCACAGCTTACATATTTTAGTTCGATTTAATTGCAATACATTCTGAGCACATATATTAAATAAAAAATTGGATACATATGTAATGTGTTCTGTGCGGAAGATATTCATATAAATAATTAACGACGCTTAACGCTTGTCCATTCACCATCATCGCCGGCCTTGTTTTCTGTAAAGGGAATTCAATTCGTTTTAAATTACCTATTGAATCACTAATATAGTTTGGACTCACCCTTGTCTTGTGGCTGATCGCGCTTGGCTGGGGCTTTTTCGTCACGTGGAGATGGTGCCGTACGCCAGTTACCACCACCTCCTCCGCCACCGCCTCCTTCCTTGGGTCCAGCACCACGAGCATCGCGCCTATCACCAGCCGGACGACGATTATCTCGATTATCGCGATCGTTTTGACGTGGCGAATCACGCCAGTTGCTGCCTGTTTCACGCTGGGGTTGATCATCACGACGGAAGCCACCACGATCATCACGATCATCACGACGTCCATCGTTACGGCGGAAGGAGTCACGATCGCGCTCGCGGTCACGATCGCCACCAAGACGATCGGTGCGATCACCTCCTCGACGCCACTTGTCATCGCGACCAGATGGAGCACCGCCCCCGCCACGCTCAGAACGATCCATGCCAGCGCTTGCGCCAGTGCCAGGTCCACGCTGGGATTCGACGGGTTCACGGCGCACACGCCAAGACGAATCAGCGCCGCTATCATTGTCCTTGCGATCTGAGCGATCATTGCGATCGTTACGATCGTTACGATCGTTACGATCATTGCGATCACTACGATCGTTACGATCATTGCGGTCGATACGATCGTTACGATCATTACGGTCATTGCGATCAGTTGGAGGAGCATTACGACGCCACTCGGTGGCACCGCCAGCAGATGCAGCACTTGGTCGTTCGTTACGATCGCCGCGTGGACGCCAGACGTCGCGTTCCTTTTCGCTACGCTCACGCTCGACAGCAACCTCACGGGCAAGACGATCGCGATCTTCCTGGATCTTCCGTTCGGCCTCCTCCTCCTTGGCACGTTGCTTCTCGTATTGTTGACGACGCTTCTCGTCCTCTGCCTCACGTTCCAGGCGACGGGCTTCGGCAGCGGCACGCTCTTCGGCCTCACGAGCATGGCGTATCTCTTCTTCCTTACGGAAGCGTTCTTCTTCCTTGGCACGTAGGAAGGCTTGGCGACGTTCCTCACGACGACGCACCACACGATCAGCGAGACGCTTCTTGCGCTCTTCGGCAAGAGCAATATCGAACTTCTCGAGTTTCTCAACGAAGAGAGAAGCGCGCTCCTTCTTGAGTGCATCGAGATACTCATCACGATCGGGATACATGCGCTTGAGACGATCCTGTTGGCTGACCGCATCCTTGCGTTCAGCAATTGCGTTTTCAATGCGAGTGGCTTCGGTGGCCTCCCAAAACTCTTTGTCCTTAACATTCTTCTCAGCCAGGTATTTCTCAAAGAGCGGAATCTCTTCGAGACGCTTGGCACGCTCAAAGTAGTCAATTTTCTTTTCTTGCGACTTAAGCTTGGATTGCAGCTCCTTGCGCTCTCGCTGCAGCTCTTCGCTTTCACGCATAGCAATTTGCTCTGCATCAAGCTTCTTGATGCCTTCCTCGTCCAACTTGGAAAGCATTTTCTTGCCGTGTGCGGTCTGCGATATTTGTTGTACTTTCTCTTTGAGGCTCTTCTCCTTGATGGCCTGAATTTCGTTCTCGTGACGCTTGCGCTCGCGCTCCTCCTGCTCCTGCTCCAGTCTCTTCTGCTCGGCCAACTTCGCTTTGCGTGACTCCTCTTCATGGCGCCGGGCTTCCTCTTCCTCGCGGGCATTATTCTGCTTTTCAATGAACTCCTTGCGATCTTCAATGATCTTCTGGCGCTGCAGAATCCGCTGATGTTCACGATCCTTGATCTCATGATAATGCTGTACCATTTGGGTGCGCAGTTTGGCCCTCTGATCACGCTCCCGATTTGGATACACAATAGAAACGGCTCGTGTCAACACGGTGGACATGTTGACCAGCTGGGAACGAATCTGCTCCGAAGGCATCGACTGCAGTGTCGGTCCGTCGGGACGATATTCGCGTTGACTCTCAGTTAGATCGGTGCCAAAGTAAATACTGTTGCGCTGATGATCAATGCGTATCTGCATATCATTGTGGCGCACAGACTCCACCAACAGCTTCTCCAGCTCAAAAATGTTGCAGAACGGTGCCAGTTCAAGCAAACGTTTAAACTCGATGCTCTCATAAACCTGAGAGATTTGGCGAATCAAACGCATTATAGTCACATCCTTTAACGATTGAATGTATGGTGTGAGTAGAGTATTCTCCGTTTCGCTGCTTTCAATGGTGTCCACAATTGACTGAATACGCTTGCAGAGGTTGAGTGGATTAAAATCCACCTCGAGCCAGTTGTATAGGTTGCGGAAGTCGTCAGACACTAGATTCGGCACATTCAGGCGTACCTAAATAATGATAAAATTAAGCAAATAAATACACATAATTACATTGCATTTCTGTTACTTACGACTTCACGGATTAGGGACACGCGTGTCGGGGGCTGGGGCAGGCCCAGCAACACGGCCAGTTTTTGGGCCTTCTCCAGTGGGCTCTTGTCCGCCTCAATAAACCGATCAAACTCTGGATGAGCTGAAGGCAGGGGTATTGACAGCGTAGCTAGCAATACATGAGCTGCCATACGCTGAAGATCGTCCTTGGTAAGGTTCTTTTTGAGCTCACGAGTTAACTGGAACAGCTTTAGCAAAGCGGCTGCATGGAAGAGCTGATTTCCAGCCTTGCTGAACACCATAGCCAATTTCTGATAGTAATTGGCCATGGTTTTTGGCACCGGCGTCTTCTTGGACATGGCCATCAGGCCGTGAATATCCTCAATGGCCTTGTAGGCTTCTTGCCACAGTTCCATTTGTATGGCCGAATCTAGCAAGTAAAGCCTGGTATCTAGGCACAGCTGCTGCGTCTCGACCTTATTGATAGAAACGCCTGTTGTTTGATTGCTGCTCTTGCAGATATCTTCAAGATGCTTGCGCAGCTTGTCACACAAGCGACGGAATTCACTCTTGCGATTATACTTCAAGCAGAACTGAAAAGCCATTCGCGCAATATCATGATAAAGCGCCTCGCAATGAGTGTTAACCCGCAACAGCTCCAAACACTGGCAATAGGATTCCCAAAGGAATTTTACCCACGGCAACAAAATGGTCCGATCCGAACGATCCTGAGCATCTTCGCCACAAACGGCACTCATTAAGATGCTCTCGGGTGTCGCAATATTATCAAGATCATCCAGTTCCAGTACTGCAACGGCGGCCGATGATTGCGCCTGAGCCGCCTCGGTGTGCTCTTCGGCCATTTTTAAGTATCCGCGTATAACATTCTCCAGTGAGTTCACATTAACCAGCTGGAACATGTTACGATATTGGAATAGACCCTCCTTGGCAATATGCGACTTCTTGAGCTCCACGCACAAGTACAGGTACTTGAACATGAGAGGCTCAATAACCGTCTCGGAGTAGGCATAATTCCACCTCTTGTTGCGGAAAACCTCCTGTAGCGTGTCCAGGGCACGCAAAGGTTTTCCCACTTCAATGAATTCTACATAACAGAAAAGACAAAAAAAAAAAAACGGTTGTACAAATTGTCATTCACAATGGAACATAAATGTGCGGTTGTCACTTTTGACATTTCGCTTTAGCCAGCTAATTCGCTGCCGCATGGAAAATTTTCTTTCACTTACCATTGGCCCGTTTTAGGGCATTTTCCGGACGTTGAGTGTAACGTGCCATTTTAACTTGATTACAATTTAATGCACTGACACTTTATTTTATTTTGTTCACAGTGTTTGGACAGCTATGAGGCTTGCTGTAGCAGAAAATTTATAAAAATCTTCAGCTCGCCTACGTGTGCCTCAGAAATTTATGCAAAATGACCGAGTTGACGTTTTACAGAGTTGCACGTTATTGCCTCAATCGATAGATATTTAAAAAATATCGATACTTTAATACCTATGTAAAGTTAAAATAAGAAAAACACATGCTAATGCACATAATGATATATACAATTTAGAAAAATGACAAAGTTATGGAAAAAATATATACTTTGGTTTGCCCAGGAGCATGTAGACTTTCGTGTCGCCGAATTCGAATCGATTGTTAAATTGTTTGGTCTACAATTTCGAAAGCTTTCAGAACATCGATTGGTAACAGACATGGCCTACTTCATTGAACCAATTTTATTACAAAATATATTTTATAGAACCCATTTTGGCTAGTGGAATTTCCAAATGATGAAGCTGCACACCAGTATGCATCACGGTCAATTGCACTACGCTCTATCATCGAGCTATATTCACATGCCCACACATTGCCTGAATTTCACAGGGGATTGAAAGCTTACGTGGATTTGCATCAAGGAGCACTCAAAGAATTATTTGGGGCAGACAGCTTTAAGATAACAGTGGAGACATACAACAAGCACTTCAGCCAGCGTGAAAAGGTAGACAAAATTGAAGCTATGGACTATTTGCCAATCGAAGGCGCTGTCAACCTAAAGAATCCACAAGTTGAATGGTGGTATCTGGAATTTTGGGGCTTGGATCCCACTTCTGTGCCTGCTGCACCTGAAGATATTCTCTTTGGCCGCATGTTGTTTCAGGGACAGCGACATTTAATCAAGCAGCTCTCGCTGAAGCAACGCAAATTCATTGGCAACACAAGCATGGATGCCCAGCTCAGCCTGCTGATGGCCAATCAGGCAATGGTACGTGATGGTGACCTTGTTTTTGATCCATTTGTTGGCACCGGTTCGCTGTTGGTGAGTGCAGCGAAATTTGGTGGCTATGTCCTAGGCGCCGACATTGATTTTATGATGGTGCACGCGCGCTGCAGGCCCAGCCGCATTACCCAGAAGGTGCGCGAAAAAGATGAGAGCATCCGCGCTAATCTGCAACAGTACGGATGTGCAGATCGCTACATGGATGTGTTGGTCGCTGACTTTTCTAATCCCCTGTGGCATAGACGTATTTCCTTCGATAGCATCATCACCGATCGTGGGTACAGCTGTTGCTAAGAAGTTACCAACCGAAACTTACGTAAATATCACTTCTTTGATAGCTCCCTATGGAATACGCGAGGCGACAGAAAAGGTGGAGAATAAGTGTAATCCCAAGGATAATACACGAACAACGGATATGGCACATTATCCCTCAACCTCGCACTATGCGCTGCATCATTTATATGCAGATTTACTGGAATTTGGAGCAAAGCATCTAAAGGTGGGAGGACGCCTTGTTTGCTGGCTGCCCTTCCATCGGTAAATAGACAAGCCAAGCCAAATGCCAGTTTCTGATATAAACCAATTCTAGCGAGGATTACAACGAAACTATTATACCTCAACATACGCATCTGCGACTCGTGGCCAACTCTGAGCAACAACTCGCTGGAAATACAGCGCGACGTCTGCTTACATATGAGAAACATATGGAGTACCTTAAGGAAGACAGTCCCAGTGACGATTCGAATGAGACACAGCTCTGCTCTGCAGCCGCTCAAAACTTTAGAGAGCGCTATTTTAATACAAATGGCGAAATAGAATCACGTCAGGAGCGACGCTTACGAAAGGCTGCATTAAGGGAGCAGGGTCGCCTGGAGATGGAAATGCGCGGGAAGCTGCCTAGCGATGGGCGAGCCAAGAAATGTGATTTAAACAAGGCGCGTTTCAACTAAATAATTTACTAATATATTAACATAAGTATACATGTATCGTTCTTATTAATTTGTGACTCGTGCCTGTGTTTCTGAACGCACGCAGCACTCAAAGATCTTCGCAAAGCTGCCCAGCAACGCTTCTGTTGCCTCGGCTATACTGGTGTGCCGCCCAAGCTGTTCTGTGAGCGAGGTGACGCCTTTGCCCTCGATGCCGCATGGCACAATGTGTTCGAACCATTTCAAATCAGTACAGCAATTGAGGCCTATGCCATGGGTTGTGACGTAACGAGAACCGTGAACCCCGATAGCGCAAATCTTGCGATCATCTACCCAAATTCCTGTGTCTTTTGTCGTTGTCGCATTTGATATGCCCATTTGACGACATGTTTCAATTACTGTGCGCTCCAATGTGCCTACATACCACCGTATACTTGGTGTGAATTGACGCAGGTTTATAATCGGATAGGCAACCAGTTGGCCTGGACCATGAAATGTTATAAGACCTCCACGATCCGTACGATAGAAATCGGCGCCCAATTTGCGCAGTCGTTCCTCATCCTCAATTGTGTATCCTTTTGTTCGTAAGCCAATGGTATAGACGGGATTGTGCTCTAATAGCAACAAGAAATTACGAAATTCCGAATACTGTGAGACATTTTGTTTGGCAAGTTCTTGCTGAAGTCGCAAACCAGCTGCGTAACTTTGCCGTCCAGCGCGCACAACGGTTACTAGTGGTCGGGCTGTTCGCATTTCGTATAGTTTTTAACAGACAGTTCGCTGTAAAGGCAATCGAACGACTTGTTACACTAAGCAAATTAACAGTGTCGATATATCATAATCGTTCATTTTATTCGTTACATAGGAATTTTGCGCCAAGCTGCCAATCTTAAATATCTAACATGTCAGTGATAAATAGTGTGACCGCATGTACCCGTACAATATAATCCTGAGTTCTGTGGACGCGTTTAAAATTTTCCGCGGGCTTGATTTGACATATTATTAATTTTCGAGTGACTCAAAAAAGTGAAAATCAAGCTCATGGTTCTTAAATGTAACTGTAAGTGTTGAAATATACTATTAAGCTGTACTATAATAATATTTGTAATGTTGAAAATTAGAAATAAGCATCGTGTTAACATGTCTGGCAGCAACAAAATAACAGAATGCAGAACTGTTGTTTACAGCAAGCGAAGTTATTAACAGCGTCGATACGTATCACACAATTTATTTGAATTTTATTAGGATAAACTAAATGGATTTGAATTTTATTTTCTGCTTAAAAGTGTTACAACTATATTGCAAACACATATCGAGAGTCTAGTAAATATGCAATCTCCCGAAATAATTTTATTATTAATATTTTAAAATTATAATTACCAGACTGGCAAATCACATATTGAATCAGTTTATAAACGTTATTTATACTCAGCGAATAATAAAGAGTCGCAGATACCAACGAAATTGTGGGAAAAATGTTTTTCGGCAAAAACGCGTTAAATCGATTAAATCTATGCAGCCCTGTTCACGTTCATTGTGAGTGGCATTGGTGCCACATACACTTACACACGCAAGCATAATATATTATTTGTGTTAAGACTTATTGCAAAAAGAGAAGTGTAGCAACTGTATTTCAATTAGCATTTGCAATCACTATTTGCAAGTAATTATAGTAACTCATAAATGGAACGCCAAGCGTATAAAACGCACAAACGCATGAAATTCTAATAGGACATAGCGTCAGTGCAAGCAATAGGCACTGGCAAAAGTTTTTTTTTTTTTGAGGATATGACGACGCGGACACGTCAGGATGAGCGCATTTGCTCAAGTGGAATGGTTGAGGATGAGGCTTTTGCTGCCGCCTATCACAACTTGCCACCACACAGTCCGGAGTTTGCCAATTTTTTGGCACATCAGCAACATCAGCAGCAGCAGCAACATCAGCAGCAGCAACAGCATCAGCAGCAACAACATTTGTTGCATCAGCAGCAACAACAGCAGCAGGGGCAAGGGCCATTAATGTGGCCACCACACATGGGTGTCCAATTTCCACCGCACCATCCCCACCCACCACCGCCACCAGCACATCATCATCATCAGCCACCACAACCGCAGCCAGCTCCATCTCCGCATGTCTATAATGAATATCTATACAATCTGGCGTACTCCGGACCACCAGGTCAAACCGAAACGTACTCTGTGCTGCCTGTAGGCCATGGCAATTTTCTTAAAGTCTATCACTGTCCAGAGAATGCAGTCAACGACGTTTACGCCCAGCATGCGGCAGCGGCAGCAGCAGCCAACTACTCGCATATCAATATTGCACCATCGAATCAGCATCAGCATCATCAGGCATCTGCGTCAGCCGTACAGAACCAGGCACAGCCGCCATCAACAGCAGTACAGCAAACACCACTTTATGAACTGTTTGCTACCAGTCCTTTGCTGCCAAAGCCAGAGATGAACATTGTAAACCAGCAGCAGCAGCAACAACAGCAGCAGCAGCAACAGCAACAACAGCAGCAGCAACAACAGCAACAACAACAACAGCAGCAGCCACCTCCACAGTTTCATCAGGTTGATGATATCCCCGCTGGCGTCACTCCTGCTGTAGCCAGCAGCAGTAGCGCTAATTTGTTTATCAATAACCTTGTAAATAACTGGTCTCCCAATCTAACGGGCAGCAGTTATATACAGTTCGGAGCTGAGGCGCCCGAAATGACGAACGCCTATGTGGAAGCCAAGCATATCCCAGCGAAAGCGCCACAGCAGCCAGCATCGCCTGTTAAACTGCAGCAGCCACCGCCTCTAGCTGAGTACCATGTTAAAAGCGTAGAAGTACAGAAAATTAACCCAGGCAGCAAAGATGCTACCCGAAATCCAACATTAGCAACAGTAGCAGCAGCAGTAACAACAACAACAACAGCTGCTTCAACAACAGTAAACACCACTGCCCTAAAGAAGCCACCAATTGTGGTGTCTGGCTTGCCCGAGGGCAAGAAGCGCATTGTGGCTGAGGTGAAGCCTATGCCCATGTCCTATTCTGATGTATTGAGCAAGGGCAGCACATTGCGTGGCACCTCGACAACAATGCTCGCTAGCAGCCATGCGGGCAATGAGACGCGATCAGTGAACAATTTAGAGAATGGTCATCCAACACAACGACGAGCAGGCAAGGAGGATAACAATGGCAATCGGGAGTTGCGCAACAATGCTAAGCGTTCGCCGTTGCATGAAATCAAGGATGGCCAATCCGGCAATGCAACAGGACATCGCAACAAGAAGCGGCAGCAGTCCAATCAAGGATCACAGGCAAAAGCGGTAAATCCCAGAAGATAGACAGAAGAAGACAGAAAGTTCCATTTGTTGTTCTAGAAGCTTCAGCAATCGTTGATAGCCAAAGTTCATAAAGCAATCATTTACTTTAGATACTTCATATATATATATATATATTATTATAATTTTTATTGAACTAACATATCTTTTTTTTGGCATGGCCAGTCATTGCAGCAGCAGCAGCAGTCGCAGCAACAACAACCGCAGCAACAACCACAGCAGCAGCAGCAGCAGCAGCAACAACAGTTTCAACCATCCTTCAGGTCTGCTAAAGCCAATGCTGAAAAGAAGCGCTCTACCCAAATGAAATTTGTGAACAACACGAATAGCCCGAATAATCTTAATGGATTCGGCGCCAAAGCCAACGACAGTAAGGTTAACAATAATAGCAGCAGCGGCAGCAGCAGCATTGCTACCAGCAACAGCAGCAGCGCACCCAGCAGCAGCAGCAATAATAATTTTTCAAGCCGAAAGTCAAACAATGGCAGCAACAACAATCGCAGCAGCAGCAGCAGCGTTCACAACAGTAACTCGCATGCAAATTACTCGAATGCCAATTCGAATAATTCCAATAGCAACAACAACAGTCACCACAACATCAGCAGCAACAGCAATGGCAATAACAATGGCAATTCCTCATCGTCGTCGAAGCGCTATGCGGGCTCCTCGAATGCAAATTTAAGCTCCAACTCTGGATCATACTCGTACTCCTCGAAGCGCAATCGAAGCAGCGCATACGGTTCATCCAATTCGCCAGCACATGCTAGCGCTTCGAATCGCAATTATGAGCTGGCCCAACGCATTCTGCACACCTGGTGGATATATACGCTCAAGTTGATTACCTGGCTGTTCTATTTGGTCTACGACATTGTCGTGCTTGGCTGCAGCATGGCGTACGAACGCCTGACCACAGCGTATTTGGCTGGTGTCGCCTATGCGCGCCAGCTGCACAAGGAACTGAAGCAGAATTCCGGCAAACCGAGCATCTGGTGGCGCAACTATTGGCGGCGATTCGATGCGCGCTTCAAAAAGAACTCTCGCTGGGCACTTTGGCGACGATTCTACAAGCGAAAGCCGCCGGAGGCTAATGCAGAAGCATTCAAAACGGGTCGCCTGCCTCAGACGGGTGAAGAGGCCATGTACTCACTGTTGAACTGCAAGGGGAAGGATGCCTACAGGTAACTATAACCTAACATTATATACACTTGATTATAATTGAAATATATTATTGCAGCATACTGGGCGTCCCGCCGGATAGTCCACAGGAGCAGATACGTAAACACTATAAGAAAATTGCCGTTCTGGTACATCCGGATAAAAATAAGCAGGCGGGCGCGGAGGAGGCATTCAAGGTGCTGCAGCGTGCATTCGAATTGATTGGGGAACCGGTACATTGAACTCACAGTTTCGCAGTAAAGAAAGTGTATTTAATAGCATTAATGCTTTCAGGAAAATCGTCTTGCCTATGACCAAAGCATTGCCGAAGCATTGCATGCGGAAAAGGCGTGGACGGAGCTACACGACTTGCTATCGCAATTGCAAACCAAAATGACCGAGGCGGCCAATACTATAAGGTAAGCGTCACGAATAGCTTAGCAAACTAATTAATCTAAACTCACCTTTTCTTGCATCAATAGATGTAGCACCTGTGCGCAACGTCATCCTCGTAAGCTAACTGAACGTCCTCATTATGCAGCGCGCGAATGCGCGTCCTGCAAGATACGTCACTCGGCCAAGGATGTAAGTAGAGCAGAGAGAGTAGAGGTCGTTTGGCATTATTAGTAACATATTTTCCACATCGCAGGGTGATATTTGGGCGGAGACAAGCATGCTGGGTCTGCGCTGGAAATATTTGGCGCTCATGGATGGCAAAGTGTACGACATAACCGAATGGGCCAACTGCCAGAAGGGTGCGCTGTCGCATCTAGAGCCTAATTCTCATATGGTACAGTATCGCATTGTGCGCGGCGCTCAACAGCAGCAGCAACAACAACAGCAGCAGCAGCAACAACAACATCAGCAGCAGCAGCAACATTCACACCAGCAGCAATCGCAATCTCATGCACATCATCCTGGCGGACCAGCCAGCGGCGTTAGGTAAGTCCACATTGATCATATGTGAACTAATTTATATTTATATTTTATATTTTAATTTACAGTGAGGCTACGCTGCACGAGTTTTTGGACAATTTGTATAGCGGTCAGCATCCGGGTGCGCCCAATGCCACGTCCTTTGCTGGTAATGCACGCCGTCGCACACGCCGCAACTAAAGATCGCTGTGTGTGAACCGTAGACTTAAGTGTTTTTAAAATCTCCAATTTACAGCTCTTATAAGCATGGCGCCGTTGGCTGCTTACTCATATAGATAAACTCTAAATCTAATAGGCCAACATCAGCGCAACCATCTCCCAATTTAGTACACACACACACACGAATAGACCACAAGCGAAGCAGATTAAGTTCTATAATAACTCTACTCGACATAAGTACAATGACTACCAATTGCTGTTTATGATTTATTATATTTGTGAATTTTTGTGTTAATAATGGTCTGGCATAAGTCTAAGGGCATTCCGATAGCCCATCACTTAAGTAGTTGACGTCTGTGTTCTACATTTTACTTTCTGCCTACTGCTTATGAACAGCTTAACACGCTTAGCTCGTAGCAAAAACAAGCCTAATTTTAAGTTAAAATTATAGATCGTAAACGGCTTATACGCCACGCCATGGCGTATAAACTGAAAAATATATATGTAAAATCTAACACATCCGAATTATAAATGTTAATAAAAATCATATATAGGAGAGCCAAACGCAGCGAGTGTTTCATTGACATGATCTGTAATAAAATTGAAGTTTAATATGGAAACAAATTTGGGTTTTGCATAAGCGTATTTTTTTAGTGTTTTATTGAAAAAATGCTCCACTCCATTTCCGCCTAATTTTCTACACATTATTTTTCTTTTCTTTTCTTATTTGTTTTTTTTTTTGTATTTTTTCTCTGTATAATAATAATAATAATAATTACAATTACATACATAGTGTTTACATACTGCTCCAGCTCCACAAAAATGGCTACTACGCATACAAAATGTATTGCAATTGAATACCTATAGAACCTAGCGTGTGTGGGACTTAAAGTCTATTTTGTTTTTGTTTATGTTTTTTGTTTGGGTTTTTTATTTTTGTTTTTGTTTTTCTTTGCCAACAAGGTTTGCTGTTTTGGGAATTTTGTTGATTTTATCTTATTCGTAGTATATATATTTTTTTGTGGGGCTTTCATCTTTTGTTGATTTTGTTGTATTTTGCTGTCGCATGCTAATGTTGCATGCCTCCAAATTTTGCAGTTTAGTGGCATAATTTATTTGTAATAAATTAATGAAACATGTGATTGTAGTTTATGGATTTTCTTTTTGTTTTTTTCTATTCGTGATCGTTTGTGACTGGAGCGCAGCACAAATTTGTTGGTGTTTATAGTATTTGTTGCTTGACTTAAATAGTTTTTGACTGCTTTTCTTGCGTTGACTTTGCTTAAATTCCTCAACAAATATTGTGACTAAGATTAAATTACAATTTAATATTTTTTGTTTTTCTTTTTGTTTTTTCTTTATACATTTACAAAACTCGTTTGAACCAACTTAATTTTTTTGCCATTTACTTTTTAGGTATATATATATAGTTTATATATATATATAAGTATGTATATAAATTAAATTCTATGCTTAAATACATAGATTAATTCCATGCTCACATACAATTTAGTTAAATAAAGCATTAGGCTCAATTTATAAATTGTTTTCTTTGTTTTTTTGTATTTTTTTGTTTTCTATACAAAGCTTTGTACAACTAAAGTAGTTAAAAAGAGAAAAAAGCAACAAAAATGTATTTTATATATATATATATATATATGTATATATATGATGCATTATACATGCGCACATACGCTATATATATACACATACGCGCACACATATAAAAAAGAATATGTATGCATCAGATTGTAGTATGTAGAGCGAATGCTCGCTGTAAAAACAAACATTATTATTATTATTATGCATTTCAATTATTATTAATTAATTGTTTAATAATAATTAGTACCAATAACAATATGCCCCTAGTGTGTTTCACTTTCTTCTTCTTTCAATGTCAATACAATATCCGAAACTTGTATGTAATTTGCTTATGTGGATGTAAATGAATGCTGTTCAAGTGTATGTGTGTGTGTGTGGGTGGATGTGTGTGTGTGTGTGCTTATGACTGTTGGAGCATGTATTGCTGCTCCTGGCGCTTGGCTGTGCTTTTTGTTTAACCATCTCTAAGCTCTATGTTGGCGCCGACCCGCATTATCCCGATATTATTTCTGTGTCTTCCGGTGTGTCAGCTCCTGGGCGACATCGTCCAGCAGCTGGGTGGCATAGCCATTGCCGTTGCCATAGCCATTAGCGAGCAGGAGACCGTTCGACTTGTGCGCGCTGCCATTGGTCAAGGACGTCGCCGCATTGCCGTTGGCCAGCGTCTTATAGCCGTTCTTCAGGCCATTCGCATGGCCGTTGCTGAGCGTCGCATTGCCATTGCCATTGGCCTTGGCCGTTGACGACGCTGCTGCTGCTGTCGTCGTCGTTTGTGGCATGAACAGATCGTCGTGGGCATTGATGCTCTTGCAGTAGCCGTTCGGCTTTGCATGTCCATTGGCCAGCGCTGCGTTCTTCTTCTGCAAAAACGCGTGTGAACAGAAAGAAAAGGAAATTTTAGCTCTGAGCCCACGGTGCGTATGATTGATATAATATTGCGCATGCGACGCGCGATTACACATATATTTTAATTTATTATATTTCATTATTTGGTTTTTCTCTTGTTTATGCTTCTCTCTCTGTGTGTGTGTGCCCCACAAAAAAAGCAGAAATACATATTATGCAATCAGCTGAGACGCTTTGTCAGCGTTTGTTTATTATTTTTATTTATATTTTTATTTTTTATTTTTTTTTTGCTTTTTCATTCGTATTTTGCCTTGTTTTTTTTTTTCATTCAACTTTCACTTGCGCGCTGCTCAATGGATGCTGTGGGTCGCCGCCAACGTCGCTGTCGCTGCCGCAGTCGCTGTCGCGGTCGACATCAACGTTGGCCCAATGAACGTGAAAGATCATTAAGCGACAACATTTTTGGCGCTTTTGTGTTGGACAAAGCGGACTTAAACGTAAACCCGATTCCCCCGAGACCTACTTGACGAAATTTCGTTAATGAATTTAGACCACAGAGAGATATGTTTGCAATAGGCGTCTGCAACAAGCAGAGATCGGATGTAATCGTGTATGATATAAGCGTTCGCACGGTTTTCGTTTTCATGAACTCTCAAATCCGGAATCTGGAATACGAGCGATGCGAACGCATTTTATGTTTATGTCACTTTGTGTGGCTTTAAATGGCTTTCAAGCAACGTGGGAAGCCATGGCCACTAGGCCGCAGTTAGGCCTTTCAACTGTGCGCCTAGATGCCCGATAATTATCATAATGGGCGACGTGAGAAGCTGTTGCACCTCAAAATGCTCTCATTTCCGGGAGGGAATGGCTTTTGTTTGCAGTTGAGAGGGTGTTGCGGCACTTACCATTAGGCGGTTTTTGTAGGCTGCCTTGTAGAACTCGTTGAACAGGAAGAAGAACATAACAGCATGCATGCCTATCCACCAGACGAAGGCCTTCGGGTAATTGCAGTCAATAAAGAGCAATTGGAAGGCGTGCACCATGATAAGAATGAACTGAACCTGCGCCACGCGAATACAAATCATAGATTTAGCAAAATGTTTTATTTCAGAATAATCTCGTTGTTAATCCACTTGCCATTTGCAGCGTTGTCAGGTACTTCTTCCACCAGAGATACTTCTGGTATTGTGGACCCATGGCCGAGAACATGTAGTACGTATACATCACAATGTGAACGAATGTGTTGAGCAGGCCGAAGAATGTGCTGTGGCCACCTGAATATAGCAAGCGTACACGTTATAGGGTATCTAACAGGACAGTTGATCGCATTTAGCAAACGCACCTGGAGTGAACTTAACGCCAAACCACACCGACATGGGCATGCAGCCGTGATGGATCACATGCAGCGTTGTTACCTGGCTCGTCTTCTTGCGCAGCACGAAGAAAATCTGCAATCGAGAATCAGCTATTGTGAATGGGATCCATATGGTGAACAGGGTCACACTTACCGTATCCATGAACTCTGTGAACTTTGAAAAGTAATACCACCAGCACGCATGAACCATCTGAGTGAGGCGGCACAGAGAAAATATTTAAGATTTCATTAGCAAAGTCTTTGAGCAGGCGAAAATGTTAATTTAACCAACTCACACAGCCTTTTGAATACCCCAACTTGAGCATGTTTCACAAACGAAACACTTTGATTGTGTTGGTTAGGGTATACATTAAGCACGGCATTGCCGTTGCTTTTCTTCCTTCACTCACACTCAATTTAAATTTATTATTTTTAAATCATAATCAAATTATTTTGTAATTCAATTCAATTCAATTCAATTCAATTCAAACATTCATGCACACGCTTTAATAATTATATTAATTGTCAAAATGCAGCAGATAGTTCAAGAGATATAGTAAAGAGTTGGGGGTATAGACATTCAATTAATTGATTAACGGTTTTGAGAAAATTTTAAGAAATCAGTTTCCTGGCCATTGATAATAGAGTTTTTAAGGTATATATTTTCATGGTTGCATAGGGTTGAGAGAGAGAAAGAGAGGGAGAGAGTTGTATACAGTTTCCAGTTGGATGGAGGGGTGTTTTGTATGGGGTCCAGAGTTTTCTACATTCTGTAAGAGATATATGGACATCGATATCGATATCGATAGATATCGATCTGTTTAGTGACACAGTTTTAGGGTACTGAGAGTTATGCATTCGGCATACACATGCTCCGATCTAGATTAGGATCTATTTATTGTTGTTATATATGTTATATAGTTAGGTTATTGCTTAGGTGCGTTTTATTATCGGATGTGTGAAACCAACAGCCGTTAGCATAAAGAATTGATATAATATATGTATATATATACTAATATATATGGTAAGTATCTAGGTTTGTTTATATTATCAGCCCAGAACCAATATTCAAGTACACACCCACACACACTCGCATGCTCGCACACCATTATGAAGCGCACCAATAGAATTCTTATCGACTAATTTATCGTTATCACTAGAGGCTAATCGATATCGTTATTCAACGTCTGTTTGCCAGTTTAACACATACCCTTAACGTTCTAGGATTATTACTATAGTCAACTGGCTGACATCGGAAGCTATAATGTCCTGTTAGCCAACCGGAAACTCCTATCTGCAAATGTAGAGTTTTGTTTTGTTTTTTTTTTCATATATCGAATTTGTTTTTATGTTTGATTTTTTCATATATTTTTTTGTGATTTATGAAGGTTTTTTGTTTTTGTTTTTTTTTTTTGCTGGCATCGGTTTGCGTTGGCGTTTTGGCATTTTAGCGGCTTCCAATTGATGAGCTGTAAAAAATTAGGCATGGCACACACACATATACACGAACACACATTGATATTTACACATACACACACACACATACACATAGGTGCACATTTTTGCATATTCGGTTAGTAGACAGCGTTTAAATGATATTAATTAAAGTAAGCAGCAAAATTATTTAAAGCGATTTTTTTTTTGTTACCATAATCTTATATACAAAACATGTATATAGAAATGCATATGTATGCTTATATATTTAAGGGCACTAATTAGAAACCAGCTACGCTCTTTGCACGTCTCGCTTGGTATTGTTTTACGCGGCGCAGTTATTAAAAAGCTAATTAAATGTGATTATAAATTAAGAAAAAATAATAAGAAAATAATAATAAATATATATATATGTTGAAAATATAAAGCAATGCTGGTTAAAATTATTTGATATATGACTGAGTCAGAAGCGATTGCATACCAAAAATAAATAATATGTGAAGTATTAAATCCATTTATATAGCTACAGATATTTCATTAAGTATGCGTTCTTGAGCTAGACTGGGCACTCTGGATGGCTGCCAGCGAAATGGCCGCAATAGTTTCCCTAGACTTTTCACTTTCACTAGACACTGAGAGGGGCATTTCCTACTGCAGACACGGTATGTTATAGTTATAGACGAGACACTTACTCTCCTAGATGTGGCACTATCGCTATAGTCCACTGGCTGACAGCGGAAGCTGTACGAACCCCACCAGCCGCCCATTAAACACTAAAACAAAATCAGATTAATGCCAAAAGAAAAATGAGAAACAGAGAACGTAAGAAAAACATAAAATAAAGTGAACATTAAAAGCAGCAGCAGCAGTTGCCAGTTGCAAGTTGCCAGTTGCAAGTTGCCAGTTGCAAGTTGCCAGTTGCCAGTTGCAAGTTGATTGTCATTTAAACGCTTTTCAGGCCAGTTAAGCAAGCAGCCAAAACGACGACGACGCCAGCGATAAAGTTGTTATTGTTGTTTGGTGGTGTTGTTGTTGTTGTTGTTGATGATGATATGTTGGGAGTGGATGCTTGTAAGCTAACACTTACCTCATAGAAGAGCCACGCACTAAATACAACCTGTAACGCATTATACATGACCAGCATGTTCTGTAGATGTAACGGCTTTCGATTCTCCATTAATCGTGGACCAAGCACCTGAGAAGTGGAAGAAGAAGCTGATTAGGCAAGGCGATTCAGAGAGTTGAGTTATATAATAACTAAATATATGATTTCAAGCTATATATTATATATATGGGTCAGCTATTGATAAGGTTTTGTTCACATATAGATAAAGCTCTTTAAAGCTGAACTTTCCTAGCCATATTTTTAATAAAAATTTGAAATGCCTTAATGATTGATTGCTAAGAAACGTTTCCTTTTTGGAAAGACTGCGATAAGCTATAGACTATAACTTGAACCGATAAGCTACTGTCTATACCCAAAGACGTAAAGACTAGACTAGACTACTAATCTAGATTATAGATATATAACATTTATATATTTATAAAATTTATAATTTATAATATAAGAAATTTCATTTAGAGTTCTTCAGCCTCAACTCAGTATCAATTCCATTCGATCTAATCAACTTTGGGCCTATTTTTTAGGTGCATTTTCTGTGAATTTCTATAAAATTGTATATAATCTAACTTCTATTATATATCGTAGTCCAATACTACTAGCTTGAGTCACTGTACTGTCTGCCTTATCAACTTGTTGATTAAGTTGGACTAATATAAAAATGCCTTATGATTAGAAATTTTTTTCGCCTTGCTATTTAACTGAATCATAAATATCACTTGCTCAACCCGAAAAAACGAACACAAAAAACGAAAAGCGTAGACACTATCAGTGGGTACACGCCCACGCTGTGTGTGTGTTTTCCGCATGGTAATAACACTTGAGATTATGCTGGAGTGGCGGCTGCTCGGCTATATGACCCAAATCTGTTTATTAAGTGGTCAAATCAAGCGGCCATAAAGCCACAAAACACCTGTTGTGGCCAGTGGCAGGTGCGGCGACTTACCTTAACCAGGTAGACGTATGTGAGGCAGACGGCCAGTGTGGGGAAGGGTGACGACATCATAGGCCAATCCTTTGTCCTTGAATCTGGGCAAAAAGAAAGCAGATAAGCAGTTGAGAATCATGTGATAGAAGTAAAGCTTGATAGACTTTTAGTTATTTTAATACCATTTCATTAGCCTAAACTTTTATAGCAAACTAATTTGAGAGAGTTTGCCTAACTTCAAAGCGAACAGCAGCCAATGTCAATGTTGTTTCTGTAGTGTCTGTTGCTGCTGCTGTCGATATCTACCTGTATTAGTCACACGTATGTGTGAAACAGCAGTTACATGTTCGTAAAGCCAGTTAGTTAGTATCTCTATTAGATAGCAAAGCAAGCGTTATCATGGGAGCATCATTAGCATTGGGCATTGGGCATTGGCCCTGATTTGTGGCGAGACAATGTCACAGAGACAATCATTAAGCAAGCTAATGATAATGATAATGATAATGATAATGATGCAGCACATCCTGCTCGACGGACAATGACAGGTACACTTTAAGTTTAACCATCTATTTACTTAATATTTTTAATAATATATTTATATTTTTCTTTGGCTTTAGGAATTTCTTCATTCGCTTCATTTGGCATTCAGTTCAGCGGCGATAATTGTCATAAAAATGCGTAAACTTAGCTTGGCTGTTTAACTCATGAATAACTTATGCAACCAGACGAATAATCACGCGAATTTCGATTACCCAAGCAGCAGAGGCAAAGAGAAGACAAAATAAATAAATCAATAATAATAATTAAATATATTCGTAAGCAAATATTTCAATATACACCAGAAAAAAAACAATCAAAGCAAAATAGATAGATGATAAATGTATGAGAAATTGAACATCGGCCCCTGACGCAGATTAACAAATCATAAAGAAAAAGTTTAAACAAAAACAAAAAACCAAAAAATTAATAAACGAATATTAATTGAGGCAAACGAACTGGATTGAACAAATGTGCCAAGTGAGATTGTTGCCGAAATGGATTGCGAAAAGATAGAGTAACTCGTGTGGTTATCACATTAGCTAATCATCAAACACGAGCTCTCTCAAAGCAACTTCAGCTGTGTCTGAACATCAGATAAGTTTTGTCTGGCTGTGGGAATGTCTCAAGTCTACGTGAGCAAATGCTCTACAAGTTCAAGTTTTTCAATCGATTCATGGAATTTTTAGAATTATTTTAAGTAATCTTTCTTTATTTCAATTAAAGAAATACTTCAAAGTTGATCATATATTTTTGATAATCGTAAATTGCATTGATTTAGGCTTTATGCAATTATATATTGTTCAAATAAATTTGCCAAGTCAATTTTCTTCAATTTCTTCTTTCAAGCTCAGAATCATTGAAAATTTGCTTGAAATAACTAAAATTTCTAAGGTGAATGAACAAGGAATAGGAAAGTTTATTTGTTTTTGCATATTTTCACACAAGATTTCACATGCTTAGATAGAGCTAGATGTTCTATCTAGCTATCTTTGTATCTATATATCAGTAAAATATATATATCTAATCTATCTATCTATCTATCTATCTATCTTTCTATCTATATATCGATCTATGTATCTATCTATCAAATCTATATATCCATCTATCTATCTATCTATCTATCTATCTATCTATCTATCTATCTATCTATCTATCTATCTATCTATCTATCTATCTATCTATCTATCTATCTATCTATCTATCTATCTATCTATCTATCTATCTATCTATCTATCTATCTATCTATCTATCTATCTATCTATCTATCTATCTATCTATCTATCTATCTATCTATCTATCTATCTATCGATCTATCTATCTATCTATCTATCTATCTATCTATCTATCTATCTATCTATCTATCGATCTATGTATCTATCTATCTATCTATCTATCTATCTATCTATCTATCTATCTATCTATCGATCTATCTATCTATCTATCTATCGATCTATGTATCTATCTATCTATCTAGCTATCTATCTATCTATCTATCTATATTTCTATCTATTTATCTATCTTTATATCTATATAATCGATCTATCTATCTTTCTATTTATCGATCTATATTTCATTCTATCTATCTATCCATCTATCCATGCATTTATCTATCTATCCATCTCTCCAACTATCTATTATACCTTCAGCTACATATATTGTATATATCACACTCTTGATATTACTTCAACATATTCTATATCTTCCTGTCTGTCAACATCTATGGAAATTTACGTCAGATCCTTTGACTCAAAATCTTGTTAGCAAATAGTTTTATTAACTCTTTTTAGCAATTAGACTAAGCAGTTTCAAAACATTGCTTTACTAAACCTTCTAAATTTAACTAGAAAATATATTGTTTTCATAAGAGCTAAACAAACACTTCAATTACTCAATACATCCAAACTAGGCATGATAAGCTGTCTTATATGTAACTAAAATGTTAACAACATTTCAATTGCAGCAACATTTTATGATCAAAAACTAAGCTCTGCACAGTTACTAATCGTTGCCTCTCAACCCATAGCACGTCTTATGCTTCTTTAATTTCATATTTGCAAAAGAAAAAACAATCTGTAAACAGAGTATGGTATAATAATTATATACGTATGCGTGTTCTGTTAGAGTGGCGCCATTTGATGGCTACTTTACTTCCGATATAACGCAAATAAGACATATTATACGTTCGCCCTTAAAATAACCAAGCCAAACCAAAGCAAACTCTCTCTCTCTGTCTGTCTCTCCCAAAAAATGCTGACACGCACAGTCAAACAACTAGCAGCTATGGTAGCTATATATATGTATATAAAGTATATCTGCTGTATGTGAGTACGTATCCATGTCATGTTGAAACATAATTTTAGCGCGTCGAAATTGCTAAAAGGCGAGAGGCTTAGCGGGCATGCATAATATATAATGTAAATAGAGAGAGTATGTCTATACATATATACCTAGTTTGATAAAGGATGCCGATTACGAGAGAGAGAAAGAGAGAGGCAGCTTCCTGCTGTATTTGATATTAGCCAAGACGCTTGCTGACATTGAAATTCTCATTATCAGTCGCTGTGGCTTGGCCTGGACCTGGGCCGCTCTCTGTTTGGGGCAATTAGTGAGCTGGTGTCAAAAATTACTCAATCATTTGCTAAACCTTTGCCGTTTTGCAGAGAAATGTCAGAAAGAAGAGCAGCGAGCACATCAACAAACAGAAAACAAAAATAACAACAAATACGAAACATCAAGGTTACACAAATTAGCGTGCTTAAACATGTGTATATATATACATATATAAATATATATGTATATACATACATATCACATAAATATACAGAGATATGTAAGTGTTAGCCGTGTCTAGTGGCTGGCACAACTTACCACTATGTGAGTCCATATATCTGTTTATGCTCTCGATGTATTTCATAATTAAGGCCATTTTGTTGCTGTGTGTGTGAGATTGTGTGTGTGTGAGTGTGTGTGACTGTGTGCTGCGTGTTGTTCTTGTTGTTATTGGTGGTTCGTTCCGAGTAGTTCAATGCATCTAGTGCAATGCGAAAGTTGTCGAGCTGCAATGAAAAAACCAAATAAAATAAAAATTAAAATTATGTAAAATCTAGATGTATATATATATATAGTAAACATGAGTTTATATAGATATAAATTATGCTTTATATTTATAATTCTAGGCGACCATTTAATAGAGGAAAAAGCTCACTAATTATTGCGATAAATAAACTAAATAAATAATATATATGTATATATATATATATATATATATATATATATATATACATATATCTTTTATATATATATATATATATAAAAGAGCGGCTGACAGCCAGCCCAACAACGAATAGCAATAAAATGAGGTTAATAAACTAAGAGTTTAAAAAAAAGATGAATAAAACATATATATATAATACATACTTATATATACATAAAACTGCCAGTCAGCATTTAAGCGGCATATTTACATGTTGTTTATAATTTGATGTTCTCGTTTTGGTCTTTTGGCTTGCGGCGAATCGAACGATAAGCGTAGACTTTGAGCTCAAACAGAAGATACGATATGGGCCCTAATCGAGCGCATATCAATATAGATAAGCTTAGATCGATAAACATATTTTTGTATTATTTTATTGAAACTAGCCACCCAAAATATATTACTTTCTCAGCCGACTAGGCAAACATATTTAAGAAGGAAATAGTAATAAATACTCAGCTACAAAATTGTTGTCTAAAGACTTTGACTAAATAATGAAGCAAAGTGAAGTGAACCTTGCACTCTATAAATGTTATTCGGTAATATAGGATGTTTGTGCTAAAGTGCAAGCAAAGTTCAAGGACAGACAAAGTTACTGACTAAGCAAATACAAAAGCAAACGCATGCACACACACACACACACTCATACAGGCATACTGAGCTTTGCTATTGGCTCAGTGCAAACAAATATTTTGGCAGCACACAAAAAGTGCAACCGCCGCAGCTGCTGACAGCGCATTTTCATAGCCTCAGCACAGAGCCCTGCAGACGCACTTGGCATAGCAATTTATACAAATCTGGCCCGAAACAAGAGCCAAGTTAGTACAATTGACAGGCCTCTGCATAAATAAATAATTAACTACACCCAAATGAATAGCAATTGTTGACGTCATTTACACACACGCATGTCCAAGCATTACTCATACGCCGCGTGCCACTGTAAATATTAAATAATATTCCGCTCAAAGGAATCGCTCTCTGTCTTGTGTCTAATTGCTTACCTCATTGCGGCTGGGTGAGTGAACCACTGGGCCCGAGTCTGGGTCCGGCGGATGTAAAAATAGCAGTCGCAGCTTGTTAAGGCAATTACACTCAGAAAAATTTCATCATAATATATTATTGATTCATGCATCTATTTCTGGCATTTATTATTGAAGAAATCCTATTGATTAGCATCGTTGCATAATGACGAGCCTACACAACAAACTTCGGGTAATTCCTATGAGGAATCTCTAATAAATTACACTTTAATAATTTGTAGTTAGCTGAACAGAATTTCGCTTCAAATTCGGAATTTTCTTTGTGTATTTGCCGAAACTAGTGTAAATTTCTAACAGTTCAGTTTTGCAACTGACAGCAACTAAAATTGATTGTGATAAAAGAAAAAATAATTATTTTGCTACTTGCAAACGTTTTCAAAAATTAAATACCTCGACTTCAGTTTTAATGAATTGGTCAAAGCGTGCTAATGCCTCGTAGCCAATTATCGAGCCGTACGTGTTGCACGTCCCCAGCAATAAACTAAGCCATTGCCAGCTAAAGACAAATAAATTCAAAGTCAGAGGACAAAAGCGGATAATAGAAATATACACAGAGTATAAATAGAGCTGAAGACGTGCAGCGGAAAATGCTGTCAACAGAGCAACAACAGCAACAAGAACAACAACAACAACAGCATTGTATACAGTTAGTGTTGATTTTGGTTTTCTTGTGTCTTTGTCTATAAGCTTTGGGTGGGTGGCAATGGCTTTGCCTGATTTGCAAGCGCAACGTCTGACACCACATGCCAGCGAGAAGTAGGAGGAGGCGAGGCGACCTACTATGGCTCAGGCTCACCTTCGCCCAGCCAGAAGAAGCGCCAAACGAAATGCGATGCCAGCGACGCTTTAAAGCCGTGCCAAATATTGCTATTTCATTGACCTGATTTCACAGCGTGCTCCATGTAAGCCCACACAAAAGCCAAACCATGAAGCAACAATGCACACGAGCTTGTAAAGCGACACCCAAAAAAAAAAAAAAGAAAAGTAAAATAACAACGAAATAAAAACAACCAGCACTAGCGAACCCCAAAGCCCCAAGCCCGAAGTTGAAACCGAGCCCGCTATGAATTCAGTTTCCAGGGCGCCGAATTCAGACAGCAACATGCCGCTTAACCGGCGCCACGTTGTCACACACACACACAGAAACGCACACAATCACGTGATGACGACTCTTTGCCAATCCAACACGCCCCCCACTGAGCCCACTTTGAAAAACCTTAGCCCTCCTTGCTAGGGTTTCTCTTTGGTCGCTCTTTCTGGGCCGCTTTTGCGCACAGTCGCTCAGCAAATTTCTTGAATGAAAATCGGGCAATGGGCAACCGCCTGGATTCGTATTGCCATGACTCACACACACAGAGCGGCATGCTCAGCTTTATTTCTCGCTAAAACTAGCTTTTTTATGTCTGTGTAAGTTTTAATATGAATAAAATTAATTAACTATTTAATCAACAGTTATTAGAGGCAAAACAATTATAAATAGATAAAAGTAAAGTTTTTATGGCATATTTTATTTACTATATATTTATACATAATTTTTGAACACTGTTTTATATTCAAAATTTATAGATTAATTTTTACAAAAATTTCATGCTTTAAATTTTATAAAATTAATTTTGAAAAATAAAATTAAACTGCTATAAAGTTGTAAAAAACATTATGTATAAATTGCCATAAAAAATAAGACTATAATAATAATATAATTGAGTAGATAATATCTGCAATATGCCTAATCTGCATTTAGTTTTATCTCTCAAAATATAGCCTTTTCCTAGCCTGCTTTAACTAGCTTTTTTTTGTTACTCTAAACTTAACCCAGCACTTGCGGCCAGCGCTACAAAAAGGCTAAAGCCAAAACGTTCATGATGAAAAACGCGTTTAATGTGCAACCAACACGCCATGAATGACGCCTAAAAGACGCGTGCCTCGTCGTAATTGTGGTTGTAGTTGTTTTTTGCGGCTGCTCGTATTATGTCAGTGAGTAAGCAGTGTCTGTGTGTGTGTGCATGTGTTTGTGATTATGTCTGAGGGGCTGGGCCTCGCCTCAATTCTTGCCCAGCGAAAGGTGTCACGTGCATTTCGAGTTAGGCATTGGTTGGGGGTGGTTGTTGGTTGCCTGGTGGTTGGTTAAGCAGCTCGCGTTTTCAATTTCCTATTGATTTTCATATATGTGTGCGTGTGCATGTGCATGTGTGTGTCTGTTTGGCCAAGTGTTGACAGTGCTCGACGGGCCGGGTCAATGAATGGAGGCCCAGCCAAAGGTTGTTTGGCCTACACTTGCAATTATCTGAAGTGTTTGGCTAAGAAGCAACTGCGAATGGTAATTAAATATATTTGTCCATCTCTTGCAGTTAGCCCTGAGCACTGGTCACGTGCATCCATGAGATACATATTGGCCCTATCTAAGGCATAGAGGGCATCTTAGCGGCAATTAGGCGAAGGTTTATGCGCTATTTACGCTAAAGCTGTTTACGTATGTGTTTAGGCCAAACTGTTAACCCGAGATTTATTCGAGCCACTTTAATTTCGATTTATTGCGACATTTGTAGATCAGACAGACGCTGACAGCCGACAATAACCATAAAAACAATACGACAATGGAGTGCTTTTCGCATCAGTGCAAGATAACTAAACAAAAAACTGGTTAGAAACTGATTAAAATTCGACATTTGTTTTGGACATCGAAACGACGAAAGGCACAACTATGAGCTACCCTGTGATGAATATAGAAAAAATCCAAGTTCTGCAACGAAACTACTCAATTTTATATTTGATATTTTATTTATATATTTTATAAACAAAATATTTATGATCAAAGCACATCATGTGGAGTTTCTTTAGGTTTATGAATATATCGTTTCGATACACTCAAAGTTTAAAGGGTAAAAATTAAGCAGGCATTAAGTATTGTGAATTGATTTCTACGGAAGTTCAACGACAGCTTTGAACGGTTCAATAACTATATTATGTATACGAACCGTTAATCTACCAAATAAATTATTAAAAATGTGTGTCAAATTAGCGTCGACGATTGTTAAATAATCTGATGCGAATTTAATTATTAATTTGCATACGATCGAATCAGTCAAATATAGTGACCGACACGCATCAAGCGGACAACATTTAATTTCACTTTAACGAAAACAACGAAATTACGAAATATGAATTGAAATATTGTTAGTGAATGCTTGACTGGGCCTAAACTGTGAACAATGGGGACAATTGTTCATTATCATTTATCACTTGGACGATGATGTAATGTAAGTTATAAAATTTACATATGTCTGGGCTAGAGGGTTCCAGAAAAGTTGGCGTAGGTAGAACTGTCAAGAGTACTAAAGATTTATGGAGCAAGTTTTTCAAGAATTTTCGAATAAGATTTTCAGTTTATTTTCATTAAGTTAAGTTTGATTTAATAGAATTAGGTAGGACTCAAATCTTTTGAGATTTAATGTGACTATTATTATTAGATAAACAATGCATAAATATTATATATATAATATAATATATTATATTACCTGTTTTCGAATATAAAAATTAAAATAGAGTTTAAAACCTAAATTAAATTTTATGTTATCGCTAAAAAAAAAACACAATTTTTAAGACATGAAATAATTATATTTTTAGTTATTCTAAACATTTTGCCTTTCGCCACTTGCAATTTTAAGATTTAATACTTTAATTTAACTTTTTTTAAACAATAAATTTTATCTTAGTTTTAAGTAATTATCAACTTGTTTTCCCATTTATAAACATTAAATAATAT